GTATTGAAATAAAAATGAAATTAAAAAGTAAAGATATATGGTGTAACTGGGGCCTGACATAACGGAGGTATGGCATGTTTGGAACCAAGCGAATAGCCCAGTGTGTTGGAGTGTTAGGAGAGCTGTGAAGACCTGTAAGAAAAGGTAGAAATACGAGTCAATCATATTATAAATGATGTTGAAGTCTAAAGTTTTGAGGAAAGGAGAGACATGAATTTTTGGAAAGATTAGTCTAGCAGCACAGTGGAGAATATAGTGGCAAAAAAGTGGAATCATTTCCTTAGAGATCCTGAACAGGATGACTCTGAGGCTCAAACCAAATTCTCTGTGAATGGTCTATAAACTTTTATTGTTTCTAAAACCAAATAGGCTTAAGCATGCTCCTTAGGTACTTAAGTAACTCCAGACACAATAGCTTTATTATAAATAATTTCGTGTAGAACAAGATAGATGGATAGATAGATAGTATGTTTTGAGTTGTATTTGAAAAAAAAAAGTGTTCTGAAAAGCATGGTATCAACAGTAATACTGAGACTATTAAAGAAATCTAAACGTAGGACCAAATTCAGCCAATGGCAGCACTTATGAATCCAGAAACCACCTTCTGTCACCCACCTTTTCACCCTACTCATCTCCTCATTCTTACCATAGACTTAGCTTTATGTCTAGGTACTCTTGCCTTCAGGTGTGTGTAGTTATAGATTACAGATTTCTGCCATGTGACTTATTTCTCCCATTTGTTTATAAGCTTCTTCAAGATAGGAATAGTGTTTTATCCCTTCTTTGTAACTCTTCAGAGCCGAGGTCTGTGCTTGGTTATATCCAGCTGGGAAAGTCTGTGGACAGATCCCTAAGTAAAATATATCACAAGATGCTGCTTTTCAGTTTATTAAGAATGATGAAAGATCCAAAAAGAATTCTCACTTGCATGTTAGAATGGAAACAAAAGCAAATGCTTCTTGAGTACTTCATGTGCCCAACACCTGGAGGTAGACACAGACACCTAAGGTGGGGACCCATGCAAGCTATGGAGTCATCAGTGGAGTCATCACACCTGGATAAAAAGCTAAGTAGCTGTGAACAGGGGGAGAAGGGAGAGAGGAAGGTGGATATGATGCCGGCAGAGTATATACACAAATCTTCACAGAAATGGCACAACTCTTTGAAGTAGGTGTTTTTGTACTTCTTTCAAGTTAAGAAACTGAGGCTCAAAGAGGCTGAGTAATGTTCTTTAAAATGTCTCTCACTGTGAGTGATGATGGTGAGATTCTAACCCAGGTTGACCTTATCTAGGCTGCAGTGCATGGAGTCTCCGACAGGAGGCGATGTATGACTGGCTTCGTTCTTAACAGGCTCCTCCTTCTGGGTCACACAACCACAATCAGGTTATGATGAATAATATTTCTTCCCAGGATGTTACATTTTCTCCGTGACTCATATTTCTGTGATCAAGATTGGAAACTAGGCTTAGCCAAGGAAATACTTTGCTCACAAGTCACAAGTATCATGACTCTGGATAGAAGAAACTTCCTGACATAATCAGGGTTTTGGTCATTTGACAGGTCACTCTTTTCACCAAATATGTGTTTTAAGTGATCTGACAAACTTGGGATGAATTGTTCCGATGAAAGATTATGAAGAATTAAAAAAAAAAAAAACAATTGAGTTGGTTGAAATTTAAAGTCTGTAACACTAGAAAAGATACCCCTGTTGCTTTAGCAGTAAGGAAATGAACTTTCCTTTTGTTAATTCAAATTCTCAAGTTTAAATGTTAATATTGTCACAGAAAGGTGACATGCAGCAAGATGATGTTTCTATTGAGCATGAAATTGTTCTTATTAATAATATCATACTCTGAACTTTTCTGGTGGGCAGTGACGTTATGCTTTATTATTCTCAATCCATGAGAATGAGATGATCCATGATCATGGATCCTTCAGTCATCCTGAATGCACACGCTGGATCATTCAGGATGTACAAAAAAGGTTCTTGGACACTGCAAAAAGAATGGTCTCAAAACTGGCAGAACAAGTTCTCTGACTTTATGAAAAAAGCCATCCTGGTGTTTTGGTATGTTTTTCACTTAGAACTTACTGAATCCTCAATATTGTACAAATCTAGTAGTTTTATAAACTGGGATTCTCACGTCATCTTAGAGCAAACAGCAAATGCCATGTAGTAGGACTGGTAGCTTCAGTGACCACATGTGAATAAGAAAGAAAATATCTGAAATGACACACAGCCTGATGTGATCATTGATCTTTGTGGTGGTGGCTTTGAGTCATTAAGGATGCACTGAATTGTGTTTTATGCCTTCTATTTAAGGAAATGTGGAGGTATGGAATCATTTTTAGCAAGATTTCCAAAAAACATGTTCAAAAATAACTTTTAAAGTGATTTTCTAAAGATCTTGAGCAAAACTGAAACTCTGCATCCATAGAAGAGATGTGAACATCGCTCCATTGGCGTGCGTGTCTCTGCACCATCCCCCCCTTTGCCATGCTCTCCCACAAGTTGTATCTGATGGGAATCTTCCCATCCGTGGGCCTGCTGAGGTTGTGACTGTCAGTGGTGGGCAAGTCTGCCCATCTTCATGCTAGCATTCGTTTCTGTGTGTTTCCAGCTTAGCCTCAGACTAAGTGTCTCTCAAGGTTGTTAATGTTTTGCCCTTCCTTTTCCAATCAGCCAATTTCATTTTCTTATTGGAGAAGAAAACATGTCCTGTGAGGGTTGAATGAAACCTACTTTAACTTCAACCACATCATTACCATTTGTAACCCTCACTACGTGAAAAATAGGTGTTAGGATTTTTTTTTTTTTTTTTAACCTCTGGGCTCCAGAAAAACATGTTTAGAAATCAAAGGAACAATGAATTGTATAGTTTTGATATTATACAATAGTTGTACAATATCAGCTATTATATGATGGTCTTAATATCTGTATAGTATTGGATATTGTGCAATATCTACTATTGTACAATGGTCTTAGTGATATCTGTGAAATAGCTGGTATTGTGCAATGTCTGATATTGGTAACATCTGATATTGCCAAATGGTTTTAATATCTGTACAGCATCTGATATCGCACAATATCTGGTTCCAACTAAAATAAAAGAGGAATTTCTATTTAATTTGCTCTTATGACTATTAACTCAGTCCAGGATGTGTACATATGATCTATGACTACTGTTCCTGGATATAGAACTTGGCAAAGATTGTCCAGTTACTCACGATGACTGAACTCTATTAAGGAATAGAATTATGACAAGAGCCCTACAGGTTTGCAGGTCGATTTATAGCTCTAATGGATGAGTGGAGTTTGGGATGTAAGGTGAAGCTACTCAATGGCATGCTTGCAAAGTACAATCAAAGCTGAATTTCACAACGCTCTGTCCATTTGTATGCATGACTCACCAGTCTCATATTGAATTGATAGATTTTTTTTTTCCATTTCCTCTATTTTTAGATTTTTGTGCTGGAGCTCACTCTGAGATAACTTTTTCCAGTAAATGGTTGGAAGCTAAATTTGAGTTACAGAGAATCAATGAAAAAAAAAAAAAATGAGGCCATTTTGCAAACAATTGAACAAAAAAATCATGTTTCCTCTGTTGTTTGCTAGACTAAATTCAGCATCTGAAATCTATGCTTCCGTTAATATAGATATGTCAGCCAAAAATAGTCAAACACTTGAGTAACTGACTTTTTTTCTTGACTTAGACTGAGATGATGTTGTTGATATTATTTGTTCTTATAACATGAGCCTCAACACAGTTTCCTGGAATAAAATTATAAATTATGTATTACATAAAAAATAAAAATTATTTGGGTGTTTCAAAAGCTATATATGTGTGTGATAACAAATTGTGTATGTTATTACATAAAAACCCATACGAACTGCTTAATTTAACACATTTTTATGTATCTTTTTTTTTTTTTTAACAAAAACTGAACTCTCTCCATGTTTACGAGGCAGTCTGGGGTAGCGAGCAAAATAAACAAGAGCCTTTCTGGATAAGCGTGTCCATATGCCAATGTGGTTTAGGTCTCATTTAAGACACAAAACGCATTACCTCTGAAAAAATGAAGGAACATTTATTAAATGACCAGGAGAAATTCCACAGTATGGGAATAACAATACATAACTTTGTAGTTTACTTTTTATTTTTAAAAACAAGTCCAAGGCAGTTAAAATATTCTTTTCATTAAGATGCTCAAAGAAATGAACTAAGAAAAATTGATGCAAGGACTCCTTCAAGTTCGAATTTGTGATACAAATATTTTCATCTTTTAACAGGGCAAGCTGATGTGTTCACATCTCAGTTCCAAACTGCCTCTTTCACTAGGAAACATCAGTGGTTTTTAAGGCACATTTACAGTGCTTTCCCCTCCCCCTCGCTGTGTGTTTGTAGCACCTATAGCCATAGTTGGCACCTGGGGGCCTTGCATTGTTGGCAGATTCCCTCTCATTTCTTTGGAGTCTATTCAACTGCTGTGGTTTTACTCAGAAGTCAGTGCTTTTTGCATATATGATTTCCTGAGACTGAATAGTCTTTCTCAGAAAACCGTGCCAGTCTGGCTGTGAACAGCTCTTCTCCAAGAGTTGCTGACAGGAGCCTGGTCGGGTCATTGTGCTTGGCCGTGGGTTCCCAGCCAGGCCTCCTCGCTTCTTCCCCTACCCCTTCCCTTCTTACCTCTGCCTCAGTGACATCACCACCCACATCTTGCCATCCCTTTAAAGAAGAGAATGAGATTTGCACTGGTCCAGTTAGAAAAGAATGAAATGCTTCCCAGGGAACCTATGCAGAGCTCCCATAAAAACAATTCATATTTGTTGTTTCAGCAACGGATGTGGAAATGATTTTAAATAATAAACAAAACCAGACGGAATAATTCAAACTTCAGTAAGGTAATAATCTGGTGCGAAGACAGAAGTCCCAACTTAAGGTTACAGACATGAATTTTGGGAACAAAGGTAACCTTGAATTTCTTGATTTGAGTGTATTTTTTTTTTTTTTAAAGATCATCATCTTAACAGTGCAGTTTTCAGACAGAACAAAAATGGTTTTCAATAGGTCAGGCATGCTATTCCAGGGTGCTAAGGTAAAGAGAAGCATTGTTTTATGAAGTGACTCATGTGGGTGTATATATGCTGGTGGGCTGTGCTGCTAGCAATTCCGTGGTCTTCATCTGTATACCACTGCAGAGGAAGACAAAGGTCGGAAGAAGGAAGTCAGTTGTCTTCTTTTTAAAAAAATAATTCAAATAAGCTCTCACAAGCATACATAGAATTAAAACATTGTTTTAAGGGTGTGTGTGTGTGTGTGTACATATTCTAATGAAACTATCCAAGTGTATTTTCAGATTTGATTCAAAGGACACTTAGAACCACATCATGCATAGAAGAGAATGTTTATCCCATTAAGCACACCAGTTTTAATTAAGTGTTATCAAGTGTCAGATTTCTCCAACACTGCAGGAAGAAAAATGAGTTTTTCAAAAGCACTTTTTCCTAATGTAGGTTACCAAGGAACTAGAAAAATCTATTCCAATATTTCATATATATGTTTAACATAAGGTCAAAAGTCAAATGTATTATTTGCAAACACTTTGATTTTTCACTCGAATTTTCTATCTGGATGTCTGACATTTATGAAAGAGTGGATGATCTGAGACAAAAATTTATCAATGCATCCCACATTAAACAAGTGGGAGGTCACTACCAGGCAAACATATATTATGGAGACATAAATAAACTTTTATAAAAAAATTGCCTAATTAAAGTATCATCTTTGAGTCGTAGAAAATGAAACCTCGGCCTCTTAGAAGAATCTGACTCCAAAAGACATATAAATGGGTGGTTTTGTTTTCTGTTTTGTTTTGTTTTTTTGGTATTAACTGTCCCACTCTAATTCAGTGGGCACCATTTGAACTGATCACAGAGCAAAGAGGTGTGTGTGTGTGTGTGAAAGAGAGAGAGAGAGAGAGAGGAGAGTGAGGAAAAGTAGGTTTTCTACCTAATAACGGCAAGAAAGCATTTTATACAAAAATATTTAGTGCACCACACACATGCGTATACATATAAATATACAAACACACATTTATATATATGTTAGACACACACACACACACACACACAAAACATCTTTTCTTTTTTCTTCTTGATCTGAAAATGAATCTGACTTAATACCTAGAAACAGCTTACTGTATAGGCAACTGTATAGGAAATAGCTCTAGCTATTTCCAACTCTATAAAACAAGCCTAATTGTCTATTGCTCGTGGTTGTTCAACAAAAGATAACGTTGCAATTGCAAAAACTGAAGCATGCCAATTATTAATGTCCCACTGTTGTTAGAATGGCTAGTAATACGTACTAGACAGAAATGGATTTTCATATTGGAGCTGAGCTATTATCATGCTGGTTTCACTTTAGAATTACTCTGCCACACAGTTACTGAGTAAGTGATTACTTTTGAAACCAAATAGGGAGAGACTGAAGAACCACATGGGTAGGAGAGCAGTGTTTTGACACTCCCAAGATATGCAATATTGTGGTTCTCAACCCCCAGTTCTCTAATCGTTTTGAACGTTACTCTGTCTATGGCTTAAGGATATCACTTCTGACTTCTCATTGGACAAATAAAAACCCTTTCAATTCTGTCCCTGTCTCCCGGCACTGTTTGATGAGAAGGAGCCGGGACAGGGGAAACCAAGACCCCACCAGCAAGTTCTCCCTTTGGCACCAAGTTTTGTGATACCATTGCTTGGAAATCCACTCCTGCATCCACCAGGGCTTTGGAGATCTGAGCTGACTGCTGAAAGTGAACGTTATCTGCAAGGAGAGAAAGGAAACACAAAGTAACTAATAGCCGCTCCTTTTCTGATGGGAAGGGTGGGAAAGGCACAAGAAGAAAGGGACTATTTGAAGTTCTAGGACTTAGCATCCCATTTAGCCCAAGACAAGTGAGTTGTGGAAAGCAACACTGTTTTATTGAAGTAAATGTAACAGTCTTGCCCCTCATGCTTTTGTTTTGTCAGTAGTGAAATTGCAAACCTGTCTGTGATACTAAAAAGTCTAATTAACTGAAACTCACCATCTGCTGTTCCATGAATAAGGAGGTACTCAACTTGTTTAAAATTTTCAGCTCTGCTCATGACTGTTGAATTCTGGAATTGGGAAAAAGAATGTCATTATTCAAAAAAAGATCTGCCATAAACTGATTTTTCACTTCAGTTTACAAAATAAAATGTTTTCAGCTGGGGCCCCCTTTGATACAAAATATAGCAAACCGATATTTAAGCAAATGCTGTCTCCATGCATGGCAGAATGCACAGCATGCCCTGTGCCTGGGAGACAGGACTGCAAAGGGAGGATGCCACATCTTCTTTGCACACGCAGGCAGAGGGCACCTGCCACCAGGGCTGCACGCAAAGCCCCTTAAGTCCCAGATCCCAGATTGGCTGTGTCCTATGCATTAGCACAGGGCAGAGTCTCATATTAGCAATGTATGTTCCATGGGCTTATGCTGTAGTTCAGCCAAAAAGTGTATTGCCATGGCAACCGTGTGTCACATGGTGCCATACATGCTACATTTCAAAGAGCCTGTACATAGCATTTGCAACTAAACATACTCTGCAATATGTCATATGAACTTTGGTCCACATTGCTAGGCAATGAATGAGAAGCAAGTATTACCTCTTTTCGAACAGATGTTTAAAACCCAGGCAAATGTAACATATGGGAGGGGAAAGGGGAGCAAAAGATCAAGCATGGTCTTAGAAAATCGGTGGGTTGTTGTCTGCCTCATTCCTTATCAGGGAAAATCTTGCGATTGGATCAAGTCACTTCCAAATCAACCAGAGAAATAGGGCAACAAATTGGGAGGTAAGCTTTTCGAAGACTGGCCTCGGGGAGGCAGGACTTCTAGAACTGGGGTGGGGCCTCGGATGAGAAAGCCGTTGGAAACGCGGAACTGGTCATCTGATCTTGATTTGGGGATGTTTATCAAGTTGGGAGGAAGGCAAAAGTGTTACAGAGGCATCGTAGGGCCTTTGGGAGGGGGCAAGCTGGAGTTCGCTCCTGTTGTCTTCTTAGGGGCTGGGCAGAAGGAGGGCCCAGCAGTTTTCCTATAGGTTTAAAAATCATCCAGCGATTATTCCTTTAGCACCTCGGTAAATCAAAGTCAACTTTACGAGTGCCAAGGTATGTATTTTACAGATCGCTTTGTAGCTAACACCAGCTTGGTGTTTTTGATGGGAACCCGGATGGTCTGGCAGGAAGGGGATAGGGCTAAGGTGTTGGATGTGGAGTCTAGCTTCAACATCGGTGAGCTGTGCACCGGGAGACCTGCTGCTCCCTGAGTCTGGTCTTCTGTAGAACGGGAGTGTTTGTAAGAAGCACTGCTCTGTTTCACCCTGCCAACATTCCTCTGAGATAGGTCTACAGCAATCCTGTTTTCTCCATGGAGACCCCAAGATTCAGAAGCAGGAACTCACACTAGGTTACATCTGTAGGAAGTGTCAGAGCTGGACACAAAGTCTTATGGCAGAACCTCTTTTTACTTCCTATGCTGCCCCGAGGCCATGCAAATTCCAAACTGCTCATGATGTGATCTTCCAGCAAAGGAACAGTGAGAAGTAACTTAACGGGCCCAGAATCTGCCCCGCGCGAGTACGCTGGGTATCCCTGCGCAGGGTTCCCATGCCTGTGTAGACTGAACGAATCAAAAGAGAGCAGGTCTGCAAGGCCCCCCAGCCCCCGAGATTTGCAAGGCGGGTTTTTCCCCCTGTACAGCTGCCGCAGAGCCCAATGCAGCAGCCAGAACCCTGAGCAGTGTCTGCTCTCCAGAGAGGAAAGGGTCAAAATCAATCTCCCCCAAAGACAGAAGAGGATTTTGAGCTTGAGCTGCCAGACGCTGGGGCTCCCCCACCGCCAGCAAACACCCATCATGTGAGCCACAGGCCCCCCACCCCGGCCATCCTCTGGCCAGCCCTGCTCACAGCCTTGCCCCCCAACTGCCGCTCGCTCTGCCGCCGTCCCCCCCGCCACCCCGAACCTAGCGCTCTGCTCCCCCAACACACGCAACTACCACATGGAGACCCGACCCATGCGGGCAGCTCTGTCCTGTCGCCTCACCTCCAGAAGCCCCACGGGCCTTCCTGGCTTGGCAGCTTGAACAGCGAAAGCTGCTCCTACAACCTCCACGAGCCATAAAACTGAGAAATGTCATTGAAACATAGAGTAATAGTTAGGAGACATATAAATACGCAGGACAGTTAGCAAGGAATGTGATAACTACTGGAGTTTGGACCAAAACAGTTTCTGGCTGCCTTTTTTTTTCTTAAATGGAGTGAATACAGGCTGAAAGAAGACAATTTTTATAAACAAGTAAAACCCTGAGCCTAAGATAAATGTTGTGATGTACACACTGTAGCTGTGATGAACTAGACATGGTGAGAAATGCAACATACTGAGAAAAAGACGAAAACTGTGATAAAAGTGTCATGATGCAAATTGTTTTACATTAACAATATTACACTACAAAGAAAGAAAGACAAATACTTTAATGCAGCACGAGAAAAATAAAACAAAAGCCTCCCCTGCAATGGTGAGCTAGGTGTGCCCTTTCCACGCACGCTTCCCCCTGCTCTCCGGGAGAAGCTTCCAGAGGGGCCTCCCGGCGTGAGGTGGCCAGGCGGAAGGGCAGCCTGGAGGTGCACACCCGCTCTTGGGCTCTCAGGCGGCAGGCAGCATCCCCCCACTACCCCAAAGATGAGGCTGTGGCACCCTGTGTCTGGCACCACCCATCATTCCCTACTGGACCGAGAATCCTGGCTTCTCCATCAAGAGAGACCCTCGGTGGTCCGCCGTGTGGAAGCGACCCCCGGAGCCAGAGAAAGAGATGCGTGCCTTAACAGAAGATGTGGTTAATAATCGGAAATAATATCACCATGCTATTTTAACCCAGGAAAATAGGATAATCCCCATTTGCCTATCGATGGAAACAGAAATAGAAAAGGAAATGGATGACTAAGTTAGAAGCCGAATAGTCTATCACCAGCTACTAAAAAGGAAGCTCAGAGTGATAAATGGGCAAGGATGCAATGGTGGTGCAGTTGGCACTCTCCCGAGGCTAGAAACTTCCGGAGAGCCCCGCTGTCAGCAACAGTCTGGCAAAACGAAGTGGGAAGGATTGGTCCAGTGGCAGTGCCGATTCCACAGCATCTCTGTGAGGAGCTTTTCCTTCAAGCCCTGAGAAGAACCATCTGTAGCTGCTTGTTGGATCACGCTGGTTCCTCAGTTACCTTCCAGCAAATAAATCTTTGTATTTTTGAAATAAAGAGAGAGCTGACAAGAGCAGGGAAGTACTGTAAGGAACAGAAGTTCTAACAATTTTTAAGCCACCCCTGTGCCATCGAGGAACCGTAAGGACAACTGGCTTCCTGAGGACGATGATGGCGGCAGGTGCCGTGTTTCGAAAGCTTCTCTTGGGGCAGGCACAGGGGTCCCATTTAATCCTTTCAATAACCTGTGAGGTCAGCTTGATGATCCCCATTATCCAGATGAGGAAACTGAGGTTCAGAGAGCTTAGGTCACCTCCCCGAGCTCACACTGTTAGTCAATGGTGGAAACCAAATTTGAGTAGAGGTCCAACTCCGAAGTCCGTTCCCCTTAACCTTACGTCCTCGTGTCCCTTCACGGCCCAGCCAACAACTAACTCATCACCATTTCCAGGCTTTCGTGGAAACGGCAAACGGCCACTGGTCTAACGGACAACCCAGCACGTCAGCGAGTTACTACGGGTGCACTGACTTCCTCTGTGCTTTCTCCCGCTTGCAACCAAAACCTCACAAACAGCATTAAGTAATGCTATTTTGGGAAGCACCATTAATGCCGCAGAAAACAGAGGCCAGAGAACATTTTTAAGAAAAAAATTATTTCAACCCACTATATCGGATGTTTTACTTGTTTACATCTATCAAACAACTGTATCTGGGAGATGCCAAGGGAAAAGAGAGCCCGTCAACCCGACAGGGGGCTCTACCTCAGTCCTCACCAAGCAACACTGGCTTCTTTAAAGATCACACAGCAGTCAACATTTTATCAGCACTCAACAAACAAGTTAAGGTTTGGCTTAAATCTGAAGGTCTCTCTCCCTTTGGCATATTCTGGGATAATAGAACAAATGTCAAATCAGTACAAGATGGCATATTTACAAAATTGCACCCTGTTTTGCATAACCTAACGATGCAGCAGTTCTTAAGGATTGAACATTTCAAATCTGCTAGCAGAAGACTGCCAAATCTATGACTGTTTCATACACTTGCCAAAAGCCTATCAAATTTTGAGCAAAATGCAAAATAAATCTCCTCTACAAGTTAAATCAGTCCCTTCTGTGTGTTCCAGGCTGCCCTCTTCTCTTGGCAACAAGGCTCAGGACTTGGGCCCCATTTCTCCTGCCCTTGATCTTCTGCTTCTCTGCGGATCCATAAATCCATTCCCGGCCCAGTCTACGTCCTGCCTTATAGGCCACCATTTGGCCTGCTCTCCCCACAGCCCCGCTTCCATGTTATCCGTTGGTCTATCCAACCTGCTCCACAGATCCCCAGAAAACCAGCTGTACCTGCTACTCATGTGTAGCTGTGCTGTTCTGTCTTGTCCCTCTCTGCAACCCACGGAGAGCGTCTACGCTCTCCCTCTTTATTTCCGACGTCTTTCTTTATTGGCTTCACACAAGTGCCCCTCCCACTCCTACCCCTCAGCATCTACATGTTATGTAACATTTTTGTGCCTCAGTTACAGTGTCAATAAATGAAGATAATTAGAGCACTTATCCCAGAGAATCTGAGGGAGAACCGAACCTAATAATCTGAGTAAAGCGCTTAGAATCGTGTCTGCCCGTAGAAGCAAGCACTTAAGGAATAAATGGAAAAAAAAAAAATGAATGAAATAAATGAAACTGGAATCCTCCCCGGCACGAGTTAAGAAGAGCTGGTGGGGGGGAGAGGGAGGTGAAACACGGACTTCTCGGCCACTTCCCTACCCATGCTCCCAAAGGACAAAATCCCTGGGGCTTGTCACAATTAAGGAACAACTTCTCTTTTCCATACATAGGGGGCACTCTGTCATATCTGAGTTCATGCTTCACTACCTATCTCTTTTTTTTCTCTTTGATAATTTTGTGTGCATGTCTTTGCTCACCAACAAGGCAATCAACTTTTGAACAATGAAAATACCAGGCACCTTGAATGGGTGAGTGTAAGTTTACTATTTGTTCATTTTTCAAATAGGTTTGACTAAAAGACCTACGATTGACCACACGGAAGACCACCTGTCAATGTTAGTGAGCACCACACTCCTCAAGGTGTAGCTGCGGTTGCTATTTGCTTTTTGCTCTTGGGGATAAGGGTTTTCTCGTTGCCTATCTAATTCCTTTGCTTAAACCTGCTGCCATTTTGGTCTGCTGTGGGCTGAGACTCACTGCAGAAAAGATGTTTCCACAGAGCTCCACTGCCTTTGAAAGTGTTTCTTTCACTTGGCAGTAGGGGGGTGATTATCTACAAAGGATCTCATAGGGTCACTGCTCATGTCTCTGCATTGGGTCTGAGCCTTGATCCCGGGTCCGCTAATCTATATGGTATCTTTGTATGAATAGGAAAAAGCATTCCTTTTGGTTGTGTGCACCCTCAGACGTCCATGCCTTAGTGAATGAAACATGGACTAGTTTTCAGCAGTGTACAAGCTGAAGAACTATACATGGCATCCCTACCTGTTCCACCAGTGTGTACAAATGGTTTCTGGAATTTCTTTCCTAAATCATAAGTAGGACCTTTCTTTCATAAAATGTGCTTCCCTTGGTGATACGGGTTTCTCCAAATTCTTCCAAATCTGGGTCATCAATGACTTAATAATGAATCCTTTTTCTCTTTTTTTTTTTTTAATTAAAGACTGTCTTTTCTTAGAAAGGCTATAATTCTGGTATTGACGATTCATTAGCTGCAAATGTAGACAAAGATCAGGGCCTTGCTTATTCTACGTTTTGGTCCTTCCTGTCCTGGATGTCCTGCAGTGAGTCAGTGGGCCAAATGAAATGGGAATCATTTTCAAAATATTTCCTTCTGACCCACAGGCAGGCACAGGGTACTGAAAGCCTCTCAGGAATTGTCTTCTTTGTCTTTTCCAAAAGGGTGGGAGGAGGGGGGGGAGAGAGGGAGAGAAGGAGAGAGAGAGAAATAAAAACAACCTGGGAAAGAAAAGTAAAAGATGGGGTCCAGAGGGGCAGCTGGGGCCTTGGAGGAAAATAGAATCTTTGAATGTATTCTTGCCAGAGACAAAAGCACAGGCTTATTTAAAAAACAAAGGAGGGCAGCTTTATTCTAAAGCCTGCTGTGCACCAAATATAGGCACTTAGATTCGGCTCTCTCCACACTCAGAGGAAGCAACTTACCAGGGTGGAAACAATTCAGTGAGCCTTCTTCGCCTCCCTCTCCCTCCACACCTTAACTCTCGCCCGCCCAAATCATTCCTCCGAGTAACACATTGGGAACCTTTAGCTCCCTGGTACTGGCAGTTTTAATGTGTCCATTGCCAGCACTGAATCTGGTGCCAAGAAAACTCGACTCCTGGCGTGGAAGGATTAAACAGTCCTCGGGTGCCATCTGTGCAGTGAAGTGGAAGAGTGACTCGGTGCACCCAGTGTGCGTGTGTTGCCATTGGCAGTGGGAAGTGACTTCTATTTACATGACTACCTCATGCAGCGAACACCTAAGGGGAGAGACGAACATGGCCACCTCCAGGAGGGTGGGGGTTGTTGGGGGGGGGTCGATGCAGGGATGAGGAGCCTCTGGGGAAATCTGGAAAAAGACTCAGGATGAAAGGGTAGATTAGAATGAATCATCCTAAAGAGGGAAGGGCAGGCTGAAAAGGAAAGACCTTGCTGGCTGTCCGCTGATGTGCACCGAGAGAAGTAGAGAATCAGGGTAGATGCTGTGGACGTCCCTCGATGTTGGGGTTTGGACTTGGCCCTGTGCCTCTAGGTTCAAAGACTTTTCAGGATGGGATTTTAGAAATGAACTTTTGACTCAACATCCACCCTGTTCTAGAGCCAGGGCTGGGGTCCTGGATAGTAAGTACATCTCTGTTTTGGGAATTTTAGGATTTGGGGTACTTGAGAAAGCCCTTCAGCAACTCAGCAAATACGGCATACCACAAGAGGGATGGCTTTCAAAGGCCAGCATCCTGGTCAGGTTAGGGACAAGAAAATTCCAGAAGTAAGATGAGAGAATTGAGGGAGACAGGCAATTTTTAAAACAACATTTTCCTTAAAAAATTCTTCAATCAGGAAAGGTTTTTAAGGGCTATACTTCATACTGGGTCGTCTAAAGAATTCAGTGTTGAGTAGAGATGTGAATAGTTAATCATCATGCAGAAGAGAAATGGGGGTTCGAAAGAACCATGGGTCCAAGAAAGAGAAACTGAAGATTAAGATACAAGAGAATGTCATGAGAGTCGAGAGGGGATGCCAGCCCGCCAGGAGAGCAGCACCAATTTCTTATTAAATGGAGATATAGGGGAAATGACATTGCAGGCAGAGGGAACAGAAGCCAAGGGCATAAAAGGGAAAGGCCCAGAAACAGAGGACAATGACTCTTACAAGCAGACTGGACCATTGTAAGAGGGATGCTAAGCATCTGGTCGAAGAATCCAGTAGTCACATGGAGGATCCATGAAAGTGTTGTATGTGGAGCCGTGGGGATTAATCTCATGCCCCGTTGTGGTAAAGACGGGGGCAGAGAAAGACAAGATAAGGGGACACCAACGGAGTTATTATTAGAAAAGCAGACAGTCACCTGACAGTGGTAATGCGGGGACTGATGAAGAACAAAAAGGACGTTTAAGGCAAGCTTACTGGATGTGGAGGAGAAAGAATGGGAAGAATTGAGTCCAAAGTATTATGGAGGACAACTGGCAGAAATGGGGACAACCTGATTCCGGGGCTGCTTGGTAGCAGAAGTTGATTGGTGCATCTCACTTTACGGGTTGTTGCTTTTCTATCTTGACTGGAAAACACACAGGCAGACACGGACCAAGCCACGTACTCCTCCCCGCACCCCCTCTGCCTAAGCCTTCCTAAACGAAACCAAAAGAGAGAAAATGAAGCTGTGTATACTTACGTTGGAAAACTAGAAATTTTATTTGAGTTTTACTGGGTTTTGATCACATAGCTTCAGAATCTATAGGAATGGTGGCATTTTATGAAAATGCACCCATACTGCTCAGAGCGAGGCACTCATACGAAGCCTGCATATTGAGAGTTGTGGCCCAGATAAGAAATTGTGTTAACTTATTCTTGTTTTTCTTGCTTTTTAATTCATTGTCGAAAAAGCGTTTTAAATTTCCTTTGGAGAATGTAAACCACGAGACGACTGACCTCGTCGTTTTCGACAACCATGACAGAGCAACTCAGGAAAGTTCTGGAAGGGCCAAAGTGCTACAAAGGTCTCTAGGAGTTAGGCTGGCACTTGCGGCTACCTCAGTGTGACACCAGAGACAGTGTTCTGGCTCAGCGGTGGCCTCCACACTAGCACACATGGCTGCCAACCATGGTGGCTTCCAGGCCGCACTTCAAAAGCTGTAGCCTGAGAGCAACCGGCCACGGGTTCCCCGTCAGCCAACCCCGCTGGCGGCTATGCATTGTGGCTTCCAGAGCTCTTCAGGGCACTGCCCAACTATACTCTTCACCTGCTTTACTCCAATCTTGTTTGAGCAAACTACATAGTTGGCTATGAATAGGAAAATTAAAAGCTTGTACATACATCTTAATTATAATACCATAGAAAATCTAATATATAGCTAAAGGTTTAAGGAGTCTTCTGGGCTTTAAAGGAATATGTCGAATTTGACATGTTTTCTAAATGAAATTTTTATAATTAAAGTAATTATCTGGTGTTGCTTTGTATTTCCAAATGAATGCATATTGTGACCTATATAGCATACGATAAAGACTTTAATTAATGCAGAATATAGTAGGGGAAGCTAGTGGAGTATCTCTAAACCACCTGTGTTATTTCTTTTTAACAAGAATTTTGTTGGAAATAAAAAATATATATTTTCTAGAATAGATACACTTAAAAATGTTCTTAAACAAACTTATAAATAGGTTACAAAATAGATCTAGTTTCTTATCTCTTACCCTGTAATAGTCAAGATTGTCCTCGGGAGTTGGGAGACCCATGTAACGTTCTGTATACACTGAGTCTGTGATGAAAAAAAATGTAAAAATAGTTAATTCATACAATAAAGTTTTCTTTTTCTTACTGGGTGACTTTATGTGCTTTCATATGTCGTTACTTGTGTGTGGGTCTGTAGCATCTCCCTCGGGAGCGTCTCTTCAAGATCAGGTTTTGTTTGTTTGTTTGTTTGTTTGTTTTGGCTTGTTAATGCAGCTGGACACCAGCTCAGACTCATGCCTTTCCATGCTCAGCTGGAACAAATGAAAGTAGAGGGAGATCAAACTAGATGATTTAAAACCAGTCAATAATCCATCTACTGAGGGTGTCTGGGTGGCTCAGTTGGTTAAGCATCTCCCTTTGGCTCAGGTCAGGATCCTGGGATTCTGGGATCAAGCCCCACTTTGAGCTCAGCAGGGAGTCAGCTTCTCCCTCCCCCTCAGTCGCTCCCTCTTCCCCTTGCTCTGCTCTCTCTCACTCACGCGCACTGTCTCAAATAAATAAATAAATCTTTAAAAAAAAAAAAACCCATCTGCAGAAAAATCAAATGTTAAGAGCTGAAAAGTAAGGGCTTTTACCATTATCATCTGATCCTTTCCAAGAATCTTAATTAGGAAGTGACTTAATGCCTCAACTCTCTTGAATTTTTGGTCCTGACACAAGCATATGCCCTAATTTTCTTTTGTAAATCCCTTAATGTTCAATTACTAGTTGCTTATTTAAATCATATTTTGGGCAGTTTAAAATTCATTATAATGAAAACAAAGAGTTAAGTTATCACTTATTCACGGAAGATCCCCGTATTAGCTCAGTTACTCCATCACAATGCAAGTCAAACATTTGTTTTGCCCATTTTGTGGCATGCCCTCAATTTTGGGATTATAACAATTGTGTATTATGAAATAAATCACACTAATATCTGCTGAAATGAAGTAAGCTCTTTTATCTATAAGTATGGCTAAAAACAAGATACATAATTGGTTTGGTTATTTTGGATAATGAAACATATCTTTGCCCTATTTTTAGAAATTTTATAGATATATCCTAAAATAGACATGAGAAAATTTTACAATTTTCTGTGGCTAAATTCCAAAATAACTTTAAAAATCTGAAGTAATTGCTTTGAAAGTTGCCTCCTCCAGTGACCAGATTATAGTAAACAGATTAAATATAAAATAATATGCTGTCACTGTGCTGTTTAGGTTAATGATGAATTTCACTGCAAATCAAACAGGTAGTTCAGTACTGATCTCATTAATTCTTTAAATGAATATATCATCTAAACAACAACCTTAAGCAACACTCTAACCCTTTCTGAACGACGAGCATCATTAAAAACTACACTGATAATGAGTGTTAGTTATTTCACATGTATCCTTTATGCCTGTTCTATGGAAATCAAAATACGTCTTTCAAATTGAGTAACCTCAACATTTTATCCTTTTGATTAAAAGGAATACAGAATATATGTAATTTTACATATCTAGAGGACACTAATACAGAAAATACAATATTTTAAGGGACATTTAAAAATACAAGATCTTCATAAAATGTTCTTATCTTTCAACATTTAAATATGAATAATATAGCTTGGACATGTGAAAGGAGGTTTGAAAATAGCCTTTAAGGGCAGAATAAATTTTTCCTGAAACAACAGCAGACTTCAATTCTTGTCCTAGAACATTATACCTCTTTTTTATTATGTTAATCAGGTTTACATTTGTGAGAAGAGCTGAAATATATTTTTTTCTTTTTTAGAGAGAGAGAGAGAGTGTGCAAATGTGTGTGCATGAGCGACGAGGGGAGGAGGAGGCAGAGGGAGAAGGACCAGCGCACGGCTAGATCTCACACCCCTAAACTGAAATCAAATGCCTAATGGCTGAGCCACCCAGGCACCCCTGAAATTTTAATAAGAGTATTTTAAAAATACATAATATAGGTGCTGTAAACTTTTACAAATGCACCTTTGAAATACCAGTTATGTATTCCTTCTATCTGATCTGTGAGTAAAATTTCTCAAATTAATACATATGTAAGATCTCTAGAAAGTGCTCACGTCTAGAAAGTTGACTTGGTCTAAATATATTTAATGAAGTTCTTTTATCATTATACTTCTAAACTCACAAAGATGGCTTCTATTATTTTATTGACCACCAGAGGTCTCCAAAAACAAGCTATCCAACAGCATAATTAGTAGGAAGCAGGAAAGTATTATGAAAACAAATCCATCGTGTGTGGACTGAATCAGAAGTATGATTTCTAATTTTTTTTTTAACAGAAAGATAGAAATATATACATATATATCCATATATATGTATATATTACATATATATGTATATATATTACATTGGATATATATATATATATATATATATATATATATATATATATTTGTATCCATCCATATATATATGTATATATATATTACATTGGATGCTCTTGGCCTTTAAAAAAGGGTTTCCTACAAGATTGGTACTACCACACGATGGGGGGAAAATACGTATTGAGCATATTTGTTTCAATGAGTCTATCACATAAAGTACTTGAGATGGGGTCTGAAAAGATACAGGAAAATAATTCATCTTCTCACCACCTCTGACTCTTTACCCTTACCTAGTGTTCCAATGTTTACTCTCTTCCCCTGGGGAATTTAAGGCTTACGTGTGTATGATATCTTATAGAATTATTTCTCAGTGATTAAGAAGAGATCCTAGAGTGGTTTTCACTAACTTAGAGACAGTGGGGGAAATAAAACACACAACCCAGGAATTCCCCCAATCCTTACTCCCGTCTTTCTATCCAAAGCCCTTCTTTATTTGACCTTTACTGGAAGAAAAAAAAAATACATGCTTCTTTTATTTAGTTAATATATGAAGCCCCAAAACCCAAACTAAAATAAGATAAGGAAGGGTTTATCTGCAGAAATGTAGCATTACAGATATTTTGGAATTTAGAACACAGAATTTGTTGATAACTAAGTATATAGATAACAATACCACCTAGACTTTCACAATAGCAGAATAAGAGAGATCATTTGATTATAGGTATCTATAAGGCGCATCTACAATGAATAGGCTTATTTCCTATAGGAACAGTGAAACTCAAAAAGGAATGGTTTTGTCATTGAAACTTTAAGGTCAACACTCTGTATCTTTTTGTACCTGAAAGTAATGACATACCATAGTACTCCCACCGTGAGACGGGTGCCACGGCTATTCCACACTTGAACACGCCACTGCCGGCTCCCAGGACCATGGAGGTTACGTACCCTCCATATGACTAAGGAATGGAAATGGTTATTTTTATAGAGGTAAAGGAATTCAGGACATATGGTAAGCGAGTCGCAGTTTCCATATTTCTCACATCTTTATATACTGTGCCTCTTTAGAGATAGAAAGCATGGTAGAGAAGGGCTTAAATTGGCCTTAATTGGACAATATCTAAAGACTACACTTTCAGAGCCCTGGTCCCTTTGCTTGATAGGTCTAAGTGGGAAAAGCATCAAAAAATTGTCAGGCAGTACTTAAAGAAAAAAAGATCAATATACACTAGATCTTTACTGACTTTGACTCATTAGAAAAATCACCCTCCTTCCCTCTCTCCTGCTCTCCTTCCCAGCCCCTTTCCCTTTTCTCTACCTTTCTTACCTCCCAAACCCTCCTCCTTAATCATAGTAAGCAGAGATATACACCTGACTAGCAGGGACTCACCACCTAGAGTTCTAAGACATTTTATCAGGGACTTCTTTGATTAAAAATGCCTGATTTTCATCTCCAAATATTTACATGCCAAAGATATATTATCATGCTCCGGGTTATAATCACTAACTATATGGACACAGATTCATAGCCAAACAACGACTCACCCAGCCCCAAATTGCAATCCGCTTGTCATCCACAAATCCCATTTTTGAAAATTGTCTAAAATACATGGAAAAAGTCGACGAATTAGTATTGCATTGTATATAGAAAACTAGCATAAGTACATAAGGACACAAATGTGAAACCCTGCCATTTGCTATTTGCTCCTGATGCAATCTAAGATTAATTAGAGCCAACAATCAAATAAGCACCTGAGATGGATGTCTACTTTTTTTTTAACTTAAGAGCCAGATGAACAAGGTTTACTTTTGTTGGAGTCCATAAAAATTTTGTCTGTGTGTTTGTGTGTGTGTGTGTGTGTGTGTGTGTGTGTGTGTGTGTGTATGTGTTTGTGTGTATGATTCGCAGAAAACAAATCCTGGCAGTTTTTTTCACAGCTTTATATAAAAATTTGCAGCCCAGATGCACTTTTCTTTACATAATTGAATTTAAATCTCTCCAGATGTTTTTCAGTTGAAGAGAGTCTGCCCCCGCAATGGAGAAGTAGAGGGGCACAGAGAACATCTGGGCAGGGCTTAGGAAGGTCTCTGGGCCCCCTACCTGAGAACTTAAACACCATTCTCTAAATAAATCCCTTCTTCTGCTGGGTGTTGAGCACCGTTAAGTAGGAAGCAATCTTTCCTTGATGGATTAAGAAGTCTTTTTGCCATTAAATTGTGCTTAGGATTTGTACCCAGTTAAAGAAATGAGAAAAATGTTTTGTGCACCCACGTTTTAAAATCTTTTACATCAAAAGGTAATTTGCTTTAAGAAGCAACCTAGCAAATGCGGCTCTTTAACCTTTATAGTACTGATGCGGAGTAGGGGGGACCCTTGCATTGACCTATATGGGACTTTGGGAATTTTTGTGTTTTCAATTATAGATATGGCTTAGGCGGCCCCAAGTTAAACAGTATTAGAAAAAATGAGAAGTACATCATTTTCAACTCATTATCTTCTCCCTGTAAACTTTTAAAACTTAGAATACATATATGTATAGAAATGTGCACCAAAGCGTGAGTATACAAGTTGATAAACCTTACAGAACAAACATATCCTTGAACTGAACTGAGAGACAGGGCATTATCATGCCCCGGAAGCCTCTGAGTCATTTTCCCTTTGCAAAAGGAAAAAAAAAAAAAAAAAAAGGAAATGTTTTCTTTTTATATGATTCCAATTTGGGCTTGGTTTTGGAGTTCATATAAAATGGGTCATGCAGGAGATACACTTTCATGCCTGGCTTCTCTCCTTCAACAGCCTGTGAGATTCATCTACACTGCAGTATACACCTCTCTTTAGTTGCTGAATTAGTATTCTACTGTATAAATACATGACATCTCATTAATTTTTTAAACTTGAGATGTATATTGCGGATACCCAATTATGTAATTTCGGATTTGAGAAGCCCCGACGCTCCACCCTCTCTCAGAGAGGATCAGTCTGGATAAATACAATTTTGGTTTTAAAATATGACAGCCCTACTCCTGAACCGTTTATCCTCTCTCTTGAATCTAAACTTCTCTTTCTCTCTATTTGGCTTTGAAGGAAAATAGCTCATCGTTAACTATGGTGTAAGAGACTTAGAGACACTTAAATCAATTGTCCTCTTCTCTTCTCTTTGGTTGTTTCTGGTTCTTAAAGGCATTTTCCTCCACCCATCTCACCATTCATAATTTTTCTGCATTTCCTAGTTTATGATTTCATAACATTATTTTAAATCAACCACTTGTCATGCTTCCCCAGACATCCAGGCACTTGGTTATAGAAACTCAAAGACTGCATTTCCTATTTGCCAGTTGAGCACGGTTGAACTGGAGAAAGCATCTGAGTTGAATTGGAGACCTTGATTTAGATTATGACTTCCCCTGACAAATTACCAAACCTAAGAGCCTGCATTTTCTACCTGAGGCATGGGATACAGATCTCCACCTCCTAGGGGTGCTGTGCAGTTTCCATGACAGTGCAGGTAAAACACTGCCCATGTACACGTGTGCTACGTGGGAACCATTATTCATCAGTAACATCTCTTCCAAGCCAGACCACAACACTTATCTGTGGACTCATGAATAGAAAGCACCAGAATGAGATGTGATTCATACTTACTGAAGCTCTTATAATTGTGAGCAAAGATGGCTGTGCCCCACAATTCTCCCCCAGTGCCAGAGTAACCTTCATCCCAACTGTAGGAGCCACTCCTAGGACAGATAGCTGTCACATGTAATGTAGCTTCCTATGCTGTGCAAGTACACTGGACTCCTTCGCTTGCCATTGACTATAGGGATGGTCCACTCGTTTAGTTAGATGTTTACCCCAGCGGAGCATTTATCCCTCAGTTTGTCCATGTGTTTGATGAATTTTGAGTCTCTGTTCCCAGAAGGTGGTAACACATATACCAACTCCTTTCTAGAGTCACAGAGAGGAATTTAAGAAGTAAGTCTTTTTTAACCTTTATATAAGTCTCTAATGACATACATTTTTATCTAAGTGTTATATCTTCACTAAAAATGTACCCCAAACATAAATGACTTCCTCTAGGACACTTGACATTCTTTCCACTTTACAACTTTAAAATATAAATCGAGAGGGAAGAATCAGATGACCTTTGGATTCATCTCCTAGTCACTCACCTGGCTGCTTCAATTTGATCTTCAACTTCAAATGTTCCCAGTCTTCTGTTGACTGCGTGCATGATCTTATCTCCTTGGTAACCACTTCCTCTGCCATCAAAACTAGCTACGATAATGTTTTCTGTGCTTGCAAGGTAAGTAGCCCAGTTGAGTCTGAAGATAGCGTCTGCTTTTTGACTACACGGGCCTGCATATCTGTGAAAAATCCCAAATTGTTAGCCTTTGTGTTTTTCTGAATCAAATGAGGAGTACCTGTGTTTCTACTCCCTGTGGACAAGAAGCATGCGTCTTTCCCGACCACGAGGCTGAAATTGTGCCAGCCACCAGGGTGTCCAAAATGGTTCCTCTAAAACTTGGCAACATGACTATAATGGCTGTGTGTTTCCTTCAAAGATGCCCATCAGTTTTACCTTTGAAGATCAGTATCAAACACAGACTTCATAGGCCAACATTTTCTAAGTCGTATATTTCTTAGAAATCAAAGAAATAAATACTTAATAGTTGGGATAGGGATGTTGTGTTATGAAAAATTAATGAGGATGACAATAAATGCAGCTTTGACTATATCCTTTCTCTCTGGCTTGCAAGCACTCCTACGCTACATGTGTATTTCCTAGGCTGGAACTTCCCAAAGGAGGGCTTGACTACTGCGTGATATGCACTGCATTGCCCCCCCGCCACCCAAGTCCGAGGTTGCACACCAAGGCTCCACAAGTCACTGTGGAGTGAGCCAAGGTATGAACGACCACTATTCCTCAAAACTTCAAAGCAGAAAGAAGTAGGCGATATTGACAACTGCATTCTATTTATCAACAAGCTTAATTCCCTGCTGTCTGCAATCTGTACAGGCTAGACCCCACTCCCACACAGCTGGGTGCACAATCTACAACAAGCCCTGTCATTGCCATGTGTTAATCAAGACAATTTCCCGATAGCTCCTTGCATCTCACTTAAACATGTCATCTTTGCACGATCTATGGGACTCCTGGACCCAGACCTACTCCAGTACCTCTCCCTCCCACCCCATCTCTCCTACTTGTCTGCTCACTGTCCCCTCCACTTGCATGGCTTTGTTCTTCCTAGGGATGGAAGTCAAAAGAACTTTGGTTTTAAACAAACATTATTTTACTTCCACTGTAAACTAAATATTGTAACATTCTAAATTTAAAAAGAAGAATGCTTTCATGCATTTCTTGGGAGAGTAAACATTTTTTAACAACGTGTGAAATGCCTTGGTCCTTTCAATGATTTTAGATTGTGTAGCGTAATAACTTCCCTTAATATTAGTTATGTGTCAAGTTACTCTACCCCCTAAGATTAAACAACATTATTTTTAAAAACAGAAAACAAAGATTTGGACATCTAAGAATGGGAAGAGGAAAACAACTAAAAAGAAACAGGCAGTAAATTTACCATGTTTTTTCCTCACTGGGGAGTTGAGGAGGATAAAATTCTCACTCTTCCCTAAAATATCTGCTTCCCTTATTGGGGCTGAAGCCCAAAGCAAATTAATGTCACTCTAGTCAAAGTTAGGCTTACTGAAAATCAAACAGCACATCTGGAAGTTTAAAATACCTTTTTCTCTTTCTCTGAGGTTTTATGTTTTGTTTACATGGAACTCTAAATACAGGGCAACAAGGCTGTGTTGAATGCTAACACCCCTCTTCTGTTACTGGTGGTGGTGGTTACAAGGAAAAGTGATGTTCTCGAGTCTCAGTTTCCTTTTCTGTATAATGGGCCCAATAGAACTCCTCACATTTGTTTGCAAATCACCTGGCAGGCAGCCCACTGCGGGCACATTTGTTGGGTTTGTTTTTGTCTTATTTTTATACAAGGAAATGAGACAATCTAGGACAGAAGGAGTGGTGTTGTGGCATTATGTGTGAGGTCAGGGCAATTTTAGAAGGATTAAAGTAAAATGTATTCCCAATCATTATCAAAAACATTTTTCGAAGATGTCACATTTAGAGTTTGCATGAGTTTACATTTACTGTTCAAAGATGTGTGATTTCAGAACTTTCTCTGAGACTTGAAGAAGTCTGGATTGTAATGAACAATTTCCTATATCACATCATATCTTCACCAAAGAGGGGAATGAAAGCTACCAGGCAGTGGTATTTCAGGAACTAAAGGCAGAGAAACTTGATGTCTTAATGCATCAAAAGCCACTAATGGTGATGTTTGGGCAAGTTTAGGGGTAAAAAAGTTGTGAAGGCTATTAATACCCATCTCTCATGTTAAAATGTCTATAAGGTAAAGATAAAACTGGTGACCTAAAATTCCTTTGGAATTCCCTTGTAGTTCAGAGAAAAAAATCAAAACTAAAGGACCATATGTCATTACGACAGAAGGGTGTCTTTCTTCATTCGAAAGATGGTAGAAAACAAAGGTTTGGGTATGTGATTGCAAAATGGAAGGACATAGACAAATTGCTTCACAGTGATTCAGGAAGAGACAAAGGATGCATTCGGCTTTAATTTTCTGTAAGCAGCACTGAGTAAAGGATGTCTAATGGTTAACTTCTAATGTGTTCCCTCCTCTTGAATACTTACACATCTATTAGTAGAGGATATTTCTTGGATGTATCAAAATGAGGAGGCAAGATCATCTGATACCAGAATTCTAAACAAACAGAAAGATTAATTAGTAAATTATGAGTAACTATTAGCACATGATCTAGGTTTCTGCGTGGTAATAAATCATAGCTAGTATTCAACAATTTGTTAAATTATGATAGAAAAAGAAAATGAACTGCTTGGATTCAGTATGTCTTTAAGATATGAAAATATTCTCTTTCAGGTTAGAATACTAGTTAAGATGAAAGCACTAAAGTTGTTTCTAATATATCTATTAAATATATTGGTGCCTTGTAAAATAAAAGTGCATCTTAGAATTGCTAATGTTTTGTTTTTATGATTCTGTTCTTTGGCATCTGATCTACTTATCTAGTTTGTTTATGGCTTATGTTCTAAGTTTTCCTCCAAAATGTTTTCCTCTTCTTGAATTTCCTTGAAGATGTTTAGGATTTTTAGTTGGCCCTAACTCTATTTTAAAATTCTGATTTAATAACATTTTTGTAATTCTTATTGCCATCCCAGACCGCAAAGCTGAGTTCCCATTTTCAGCTCTGTGTTTCACAGAATGAAATCAGGTTTACATGGAGCAGACTGTTGTGTACGTTCTGTATGATCTGCAGATCTGTTTAATTCTCTGTGCTTGATTTAGCATCAGTTTAATAAAATTTGTCCCTAAATAATGAATTGGTTTCCTTTGCTCCCAAGTTAAGATGATGAGTTAGATTAATAAATCTTAAAGATAGAGAGATCGAGAGATGTCCTATATTTTAATCAGATTATTTCCAGCTTCAGTAGATTTAACCTATAGGGGAAAAAAATCCATATCTCTAGAGCTGCTGCTTCTTTATGTTTATCTTTCTTTTCTTTCTTTCTTTTATTTTTTTTTGTTGTCATTAAAATTATTTTAGTTGAGGAAAAAAGAAAGGTTTAAGAGTAAGATCTTTATATAGATAGATTTCTCTTCAATTTGGATTTTATATTTTAAATATATCCCTTCTGGCTAAATGCGCTTATAAGAACAAAAATTTAAGTCTTTCTTCTTTTTCAGTAGAATGTCAAACTATGTGTCGATCATGATGTTTTAAATAAATATGCCAAACCCACCATTTGCTCTCTCCTTTGAATTTGTCCTAGTTGATTAGAAGTGTTTTTAGTTCCATCTCTCTGAAGATACTGTCCCCACCCCGCTTTGGGTGGGGTGCAAGGTTCTCTGTAATCCCCAGTCCCACCTCCTTCTGCCCCTCGTCCTCAACGCCCCCCTACCCCACTTTCTGGAGTTTGAACGTACAACCACCTCCCAGCTGGACTGTCCATCTCCGGCAGACCCAGCCTCACTCTCCTCTCTATCAGTTTGTCCATCCAACCCTGTGGTTTCCCTGAACCAAAAACTTCCGGGGTCCCCCACTGTCTTTCAAATCTCAGCAGCACCTTCTGTCCTAGCAGCCCAGGTAGCTCTCCCGAACTCTAAGTCCTTGGCCATCATGCCAGCAGCACAAGCATCACCTAAGAGCGAATTACAAACCCTGGGCTCACCCTGCCTTGTTGGATCACAGATCCTTAACAAGGTGCCAGGTGATTCATATGCATGTTGAGTTTGAGTAGCCCTGCTCTAAGCTCCTCTTTACAAGTACCCTCTACTCCCCAGCGCCTTTCCTGCCATTTAAAATTGGATGGATCTTTACTACTGGATCTTTTTGCATCTTTTCTATTATTATCCTATATTTAAAAAAAAAAAAAAAAAACTTAAATCAATCTTGATGGATCCCCCCATCGCCCATGAGTAATTAGCTCTTAATGGGAAAAACAGCAAACAAATACAAATGAACAAACTACAAACTTTCCTACTCAAAGATCACCTCTCTTCACCCCCTTTCTCAGTGGTTCCTGCACACCATTCCTGCTCAGGCATCCAGCACAGGGACCAGGCTAACTGTGGCAGGGAGAAGGTCAGGAAAAATTCAAGATTTCTCTCCCGAGACTGAAGTTTTAACATTTTACGCTAACCTTAATTTTTTTATACAATCACCTCAGATTTTTTTTTTTTAATCTCTATGGGTTAAAGGTAAAATATATCAGGATAACACTAAGTTAAACACTCAATTAATATTTTATAGTAGAACAGAGTTACTAACAGAATGAAACCAAAGTAGCAATAGTGTGTTTTTTTTCCAAATCCTTTCCTTTTAACAGAATAACTTTTACATAGAGTGGTATTCTATTTTAAAACAAAAAGAATGAAAAACTAGCAGTTCTCATAACAAAATTTTTCATAGGAAAAATAACCTCAAATTAGAAGTACATATAACATTAAATGTGTATTTTCAGATCAAGTTATCACATTTAGTTATATTTTTATTGGTGTTTCCAGGAACAGTTCTATTCCTAAAGAAATTCAACTTACTTGTTTCATTCAAAATAATGAAATCCAGTTTTTTTGAGGGCATCTGGACATCCTGCAGCATTTTATCCAAAGCTGAATTGTCTTCCAGGATTCTCAATTCTAAACAAATATTCCAGACGGCAGTAATTCATTAACAATGTGAAGAATTCGGATTGTGCAAAGGGCTAACGAACAAGTGGCAATTCACTGATGGGACTATACATTAGATTATAAACCTTGAATTCAAATCATTGTTTAAACACTAAAGCCAAAAAACAAAACAAAACAAAACAAAAAAACCCCACAAAACACACACCTCACTATGCTAAGTACATGTTGATCCTATTCACACACACTAAGAAGCAAAATGTAAAATGAAAAGTAAAATGCTAGAAAATACCTTTATCGTCACTGCTCCTATGCAGAGTATAGAGGGGCAGACCAGGGCCTGTTAACAGGAAAAATGTTTTAGGTGAGGCTTTTTAAGAAAAGAAGGTTAACATATTTTTTTTCAAAAATGGCCATTTGATACCACTTAACTTTGATATGATTTTAATACTAATTAACTGTGGTAGAATAAATATCATCGTAGATGAGGGACTTACTAAGTTAGCTGTTTTTCCTCTTCTTTGAAATAGGGGCATTTTTTTTTTTTTAAGATTTTATTTATTTATTTGAGAGAGTGCATGAGAAGAGGAAGGGTCAGAGGGAGAAGTAGACTCCCTGCCACGCAGGGAGCCTGATGCGGGACTCGATCCTGCGATGCCAGGATTATGACCCGAGCTGAAGGCAATCACTTAACCAACTGAGCCACCCAGGGGCCCAAAATAGATGCAATTTGAGATTAAGAAGGATTACCGAAAAGTTACAGGGCTCACTAGAATGAAGCAGAAACTGAACCTCTGGCCCGGTTGAGTGCCTTGGGCATACTGCCTCCCGTTTCCTCGACTGTGAACTAAGCCAAAGGACCCCTGACACTGCTATTTTTCTTTCCCAGCCCTAAAGCGACAATCTGCCGATGACCACGCAAGCTCTCCGGCCCCGCCCCCTTAGGGCGGAGCTCGGGAGCCAGCCTCAGCCAGGGGAGGGGCGGATTTCCCTCCCGCGGCCTCCACACCACGGAGTCGTGAGCCAGGGGGCACATCTGCACAGTGCCTCACTTGGATAAGCGATTCCTTTCTGGCATGCAAAAGTGTTTTTCTCGCATGAACATATCTTCACTATTTATCCCAACTGTGGTAGTTGCAGACTAGAAGGTAATGTATAGAAAAGCTATTTGGTGAGCTATTTAATTTTGATGCATTTAGATAATATTAATGTTTTACTCTTGATCAGAACCACAGTGAAGGCATTAGAAAGACCTGAGTTTGAATCCTGGCTTACCTGCTGTGTGACAATATATTTATGTTTTGATCTCTTTACATATAAAAGGAGAATAATATCTACTTTATAGAGTTTTCTTAAGAATCAAACAAGACTACAAATATAAAACTTTTAGCACAGTTCCTAGTATAAAGTGTCTGCCCAAGCAATGGTAACTAAAAACAGTCACAGGAAAAAAAAAAAAAAAAAAAAGAAAGAAAGAGAGAGAGAGAGAGAGAGAGAAAGATGTAATAATAAAGAAAATGTGCTAGTAAATAAGGTTCCGATAGGTGGTTTGGAGATCTCTTTCCTATAAGGGATAGTTCTTTTTCAGAATATCCAGAATCTTTCATTTTGAGAAATCTTCTAGCAGAGGGCTTATTGGAGGGCTCAGGAGGGCTCAGGAGTGGAGACCTGTGCTTGAATCCTGTTGTGCCTCTTATTAGCTGTGTGACCTGTGGAGGTGCCGTTGTCTGTCCTTGCCAAGTTTCTTCATTAACAATAAAGAAAACAATAATAAAAAAGCAACAGAAGATGGAGCCGTGAGCAAGGGTGGGTGACAGACACTACCCACATACATTTTTCTCATCTAAAGGGGCAAGTGCACAAAATAATAATGAAAAAAATCTCCAATAAAAAATAGGTGTGGGGCACCTGGGTGGCTCAGTGGGTTAAGCCGCTGCCTTCAGCTCAGGTCATGATCTCAGGGTCTTGGGATCGAGTTCCGCATCGGGCTTTCTGCTCGGCAGGGATCCTGCCTCCCTCTCTCTCTCTCTCTGCCTGCCTCTCCACCTACTTGTGATCTCTCTCTGTCAAATAAATAAATAAAATCTTTAAAAAAAAATGTGTGTGTGTGTGTAAAATGAAGTACCTCAGCTATACATAGTCTCCAGTGTATGTATATTTCTTGTGCGTTCAGTCAAAAGCAAGCCATGCAATTCTCTTGGTTAGAATGGGAGGAAAGGCTGTTAACTTACCACTTAGATGTGCTTGAAGAGAAGGAGGCAGGTGATTTCAAGAGCTCCTCAGATTCAAGAGGAGAAAACTAAGCAGGGCAGAAAGAGTGTTTCCCAGACTGGACACAGAAAGGGAAAGATGGGCAGAATGAGCCAGGAGGGAGACACCTAGGTGGCTCAGTTGGTTGCCTTTGGCTCAGGTCATGATCCCAGGGTCCTGGGATCGAGTTCTGTATCAGGCTCCCTGCTTAGTGGTAGCCTGCTTCTCCCTCTGCTCTAAGCTCTCTCTCACTTTCTCTCTCTAACAAATAAATAAATATTCTTAAAAAAAAAAAAAAAGAACCAGGAGAGTGGTAAGAATGTTGTCTGAAGAGTGGAAGGAACGAAGTCAGCTGGTGAGTGGAAAGCAGGAAAAGCATGCAGGCTGAGGGAATGCAAGGAACCACTTCAGATAGACAGACAGACACGGTGGTACCTGGGCTGTTCTCCCCTTGGCAGTTCACACTTACCTGAACACCTCAGCTGATAGTACTTTGCCTCTTTGCTAAATGATACAGAATAGTACTGACACCTTTCTGGATTTAGCTCACAACTCAGGCATGTCACCTTTGTGTAGTTGCTCAGTTGGATTCTGTAAACCAATGGTGGAAATTAAGTGCTTGATGAAAGAATAAATGAAAAGACAGAATTGAATAATGCCATATTCTAGTTTTAAAGATATCAGAATGCTAAGGCAATGCTCAAAACATTTTCTTTTTTAATGTGCAACAAATACACGAATTAATTCACAATAACCTCAAACTTTCCATTGTTTGGGAATAACACAAAACATCTAATAAAGTCATTCTCTGTTGTTGACACCTGGAGTTTGATTTATAGGGGAATGAAAGTGCTCAATTACAACTTCAGTTACTTAAGGCACGGAAAAAAACAAAAACAAAAACAAAACAAGACCAGAAATTGTTCTTCAGCTAGAAAGACTCAAGTCAACAATTTGATTCAGTTCTTACTTATAAAGATTTCTTCCTCCTGGCCTTCTTTTATATTCATTACTGATGTAGTATCTGGGAAGAAAACAAATAAAATATATATTAATTATGTTTTTAAAGAAAGTCAAGTACACTCTATTTGACTCAACACAAAACATTCATGCTGGCCCTTGTCGTATCATTCTTCCCTGCCCCCTCTGCCCCAGAAGCCATATTTCCCATCATCTCTAAATAAGAGATTTCACTTTTTGTTTTAAAAGATTTTATTTATTTATTTGACACAGAGAGAGATATCACAAGTAAGCAGAGAGGCAGGCAGAGAGAGAGAGGAGGGAGCAGGCTTCCCACTGAGCAGAGAGCCTGATGCGGGGCTCGATCCCAGGACTCTGGGATCATGACCTGAGCCGAAGGCAGAGGCTTTAACCCACCAAGCCACACAGGTGCCCCAGAGATTCCATTTTTAAAGCAGACTAAAATATCTGGATGCAGGGATTGATCCCTTCATTCAGGTGACAAGTAAAAACTCAAAAAAGGTCTTTTGTGAGAAAAGTAAGGCTGGACAACCACGTACCTACATTGTTTTCCGTATTTTCTGTTTTTATAGCCCAAGCTACTGGATGGCAGGAGCCCCATCTTTCTGACAGGAGCAGAGCCCCTTCTAAGGATGTCTTTCAAAAACTGCTTTGGGCAGTGGCAACAATAGTCCCTAGTGAGACCCGATAATGAATTCTAGAAATGCCTTAGATTCTAATGGAAAATAACACTCCCTTTCCACCAACTCGTGCATGATAGTTGACAGCCTCAGCAAAGCTTTCCGTTTTCCAGAGAAAGGCCGAGATGTGGACAGATAAAATGAAATAGCCTCTCCAAGCCTTCCAAAAATCCGGTGCCAGTTAAAATGTAACAAAATGCCCGGATGCTGGTGCGGTGCTCCAAGACGCTTGAGAAAAAGAGGCTGCAGCTCTGCTAATGTAAAGCAGGTAAGAGCAAGAGGTAGAGCTGCTTGGTGGCAGGGTATCAAGTCTGCTAAGCATATGTGAAAATCATTAAGGCTTCCGTATGTTAAAAAGAAAAAAGTACTGAACACATTCCAAATAGACTATTCTTTATTTGTAGGAGATTTTCCCCTATTTCTGGGCATAGAGGGTGTGATTGCAACGAGTATGTTTGCATCCTACCCATTATTAGAATACTCACAGGTAATCACTGGTGAGAGCTTCTATTCCGATGACTTCCCAAGCTCCTTTTGTAATGAATGTGCAATCCTGATGGGATTATTTTTTTAAAAAAAGATGTTTATTAAACTTTCTAATCGAAGTGGAGGGTTGAATCTTTTATCTCCTTGGGTTTCTCCTCCCTATCCCATCATCCTCCAGACACCACTTCAGAATTTCGATCAGCCGGATTATTGGTACATACTGACTGACTTTACTAAACGATTTCCCCTTCAACTTAGTCTCATTAAAAAAGAGATCAACCTGAAATAAATTATGTAAGAATACTTACTTGCTTATCTATTTGGAATAGGCAAATGTGTTTGTAGCCATCTTGGTTGCTGATGATCTTGTAGAAGCTCTTCCCATCAGAGGTAAAATGAGGTTCTGAAGGCCTGAACTACAGAATAATAGAGAACAAAAAAAAACAGATGAGGGCACATCAGTTTCATCTCAGCACCAACTTTAGTTTTTGAAAGTCCTCTCAACACCTCTGCCCAAAACCCATGCTTCATTTATTTGCCAAGTGAAACCAGAGGGTCTCAAAAGAAACCAGAGTGTCTCAAAAGAAAATTCTCCTTCTAGAAAATGCAGACAAAAAGATCTCTCTCAGAGAAATCTTTACGTGGAGTAAGCGAGAAAAAGCACATAAAGAGGCTTACGCAGTACTCTCAACACATAGCCGTGGTATTGTTATCTCTGGACATCTCTCTACGAAGGATGACTCTATGACTTCTGGCTATAAATGTGCAAAACTTAGCATTTGTCTTTCAGTTTTAAGAAGTAAATTTCCTCAGTGTCACAGATGTGCTTTCTTGAAACAGACTATTATTATTACTATTATAAGTCGGAGTTCGTACATCTTAATTTCCTTCACCTATTTTGCCCATTCCCCTCACCCCTTCCCTCCTGGCATCCATGAGCGATTGCTTTCTGTTTGGTTTGTTTGTTTCAAACAGACTATTATTTTTACTGTTTCAGATAAGAGGTGGTTTATAATTTGAGGGATTTGTTTCCTCCTTTTTAAATACATATTTCTTTTTGAAAGCCAAAAATTCTTTAACCATTTCTGGACTGGATACTGTAAGGAATGTCTGTTGTGTATTTCACGTGGAAACATTCTTATAGTTACCATTTTTATTGTATGCCTTTTCATTTTGCTAAATAGGATCAACAACTTACCAAAAAAGTAGTTGTATGGAAATACAGTATAAAATTTCCATTTTTCACAGTTCAATAAAAGATAGTTCTCAGAACATAATGTAGTTTCAGCAGAAGAATATCTACCCCAGCCTGAAAGGAATATGTCGCTTTACGACTTCGATTTCCTTACTACATTTGGGAGCAGGTAGGAGATGGTCTTTTAAAATTGTTGGTTCACTTTACCCTCGATGTTTCCTCTCTTATCAGCTCCCATTTTGGGAAGGAAGAAAAATGCTTCCCTCTTCTATTTAGTGATTCAAAGTGGATTCATTTATGGAGCAAACTGCGGCGTGCGGTACACTTGGTGTTCTCATTACAGAGCTCTAAAACACATTCCCCTCTCTAGACCTGTGTTCACAGCCTTATCTTTTTAATACATTTCCCTGTTTCCCCTGGATGGAGTTGTGCCTAGTAGAAATGTGTGAAAAGTGGCATCTGTCTGGTTAAATACAGAGAGGAAAAAACATATTTTTTTCAAAGAGTCGTGAGGAAGTGTAGCGTGTCTCTTGCCATGGAGGAAACCACTTTTCATGTTGGCAAACCTCTCCCCTCTGCCCAATCAAAGCCTGAAGAAAAGGGACGTGTGAATGCTATCGGAGCTCTGAGCCCAGCTGGAAGGGGTCCTGTTTCTGGACCGCGGGCCTCCCCTCTCTGCCCCAAGAGATGTGAAGGAAATCTTTACATTTTCTTTTGCTTTCAGTCCCTTTGTTTCTCTCTTAAAGGAGGCTTAATAGAAGTGATCACAAGAATTAGGTGAGATTTGTTCATCGTCTTTCTGTGAGGGGCCACAACGGCTAGAGATCCTTCCATAACGTGTTTCCTCCCACAGTCCGGTGGCCTCATGGTTGGTGATTCTGCCCAAGGCATAGCGCTCGCAGCACAAATGAGAAGCGTGACAAGTCTCTGCGGGTCACTGTGCTTTCTTGGATACCACTCTGCATCTGGGGCCTAGTAAAGCGTGAAGCCACAAGAGTATGAGTTCCTCCAAAGTGGGGTGCACAGCAGGGTTGCTGGATGGATACAGTCGCCACCGAGTTGCCGCCGCATATAGCCACGGCTCCTTGCTCATCTGTGTAGGCTGTGGATGGAAGCCATGTTTGCTGCCTCCAGAGCACAGGCCTTTAGAGGTGAGCTCAGTGGGCATCTTCAGCATCTTAGCTGTTTTTCAGCAGTGGTTGCTTTTTAACTTTTCAGGAGCTACCGTCCACCTACAGGATGTCTTCTGTTTTGTCTGCTCTCAAGTTTTCACCTGTCCTGTCCTTTTTCCCACTGAGCATGTTCTGTATTCCCCACGAAAAGACCTCTCTGGGGCACCTGGGTGGCTCAGTGGGTTAAGCCTCTGCCTTCGGCTCAGGTCATGATCTCAGGGTCTTGGGATCGAGCTCCACATCAGGCTCTCTGCTCAGCGGGGAGCCTGCTTCCCCCTCTCTCTCTCTCTGCCTACTTGTGTCTCTCTCTCTGTCAAATAAATAAGTAAAATCTTTAAAAGAAAAGAAAAGACATCTCCGCAGGGAGCATTTAAATATTTTGAGAAATAGGTCAGTTAATAGCTCTATTAATAGCAAATAACATAGGGCCCTACTTTGGTATATATGCATATCAAATAGCTCTGAGTATCTGATCCAGACCACAAAAAACCCATAACTCAAAGCACTTACTCTTCCAACCCAGCCAGTGGTACTCATTTCAGTGTGTTCTTGTGCCTAGAGAGGGAAAAATACAAGGGCAGCATTTCAGAGAGAAGTGAGGTATTAATTCTATTTTTTATCAGCAACTCGTGGTAATAGAAGCAAAATTGTACTTAAAAAAATCGAAAACGATCTCCATTTATATAATTGTATTTGTGCTCAGATTGCTTATAGGATTGCATCAGGACCTTACCTCTCTTGCCTAGAGCTCTGTCTTCCATACGTGGCCCTAGAAGCTCCCCTGGCATTTTCAACTCAACACGCACGGCACAGAAGATGATGTCCTTTATCTTGCCTTCATCCCCCCCGGCTTGTTCTGACGCCTTTGTTCTTCTGCTTAGTGCCACTGCTTACGCAAGCCAGAGACTTGGGAGTCACTCTAGATGCCTCCTCTCTTCAGAGCCACCTCCTCAGCCCCTGCCTCCTGGTTTGTTGACTCCCCTCGTCCTTCTCCACCATTACTGCCTTAGCTTCTGTTCTCGTCAGGTTTCCATTGGTCCATTGCCCTGACCTCCCGGTGACCCTGCCGCTCTTCTCCTCTTCCAGTCTGCTCAACCCCCACTGACCTCATCTGGCAACAGACGACAGTTCTAGCTCATTAGGATCCTGTCCTATTTAACACCTAGAAATAGCTCTCCGTGTCTTACAAGTAAGTCCGAACCCCTCAGAGCGGCGCCTGAGCCTCAGCCTACCTCCACCTAACCAAAGAGCTTAGGTTTCCTAGTTTGGAGTCCGGCTGTCACGTGACCTAAGGGACCTTCTTAACCTCTCAGAACCCCTGTCTCCACCGGTCTGGCTACCCTGAGTGTTCAAGAAATGGTGACTATTAATATGGATTATCCTAATGGTATCCCCTACTAAAACAACCATGTTTTAGGGACCAGCATATTGTCTCATTGGTTTGTTTCTGTTTGTTTTAAATCCAGAGCTATGCACAGAACTTGGGGTGTAGTAGGTATTCATTGTTTGCTGTATAAATAAATGAATTGACAAATCAAGACAAGGGGTGCCCAAGCTTTCTGAGGCAAGAATCTTCACTGTGCCCAACCAGGTGGGAAGTGTGTAGAGGGGGAAGCATGTAGGCACAGAACCCATTACCAGAAAAGGGCTTGGAGAGGTGCCCTTCACATATGTCACTAACCCTTCCCTGGACGTTGCCCCTCCTGAGGCTGCTGGTTCCCAAAGGGGCTTTAATCCTGATTCACTAGCTTGGCTGAACCTTGTGGTTTCTTGTGGGGAATGCCCTGCCCCCATTCCCCAGCACCTCAAGGTTGAATTAACACTCACCTTTGTCTTAATGTTGCCACCCTCTCTGCCTGGTTGTTATCTATTTATGTTCTAAAGTTGTTGACTGCTGAGGTATAGTCACAGGGTGGTAAGAGATTTGTGGCCTTTTGATACTAGTTTTGTTTCACACATTCTCAGTCAGTCATTCTCTGCTCTCCATATTTTCTCTGTTGAAACACACTTCGTTGACCTTGCAGCCGCTGGCCTTCTTGGGCTGTCTGAATTTTGACATCAAATTCTATCTTTTGGGTTTCCAATCACCACCCCCTCCCCAAGTGATAATATCCATAACTGAAACCGTATGACTAGTGAGCAGAGATGAAATGGAAGTACCATCAAATATCAGATTCTCTCTAAAAGTTAGTCAGGACTCACTCACTGCCTCAGGATCTGACAGACTCAGAAAGAAAAGAAGCTCAAACTTTATTTGCTGATCCCCAACCATTCACTCTCCCCATTTTTGTGGAGTCCTTGGATCACATGCAGCTTTAGAAGCAGAGCATTGCCATTAAACCTTACCTCTGGTTTTCTCCAACTGTTGGTGGCATTATTATAGTCACAAATATCCATGACTGAATAGTTCTGAATCCTTCGGAGCCACTGCAAAGAAATCCTTTCTTCATTTACCCATGTCACGTCACACAAGTAGTAATCCCTGGAAGGAAGGAAGGAAGGAGAGAGAGAGAGCAAGAGAGAGAGAATAACTATTTCCAGGCCTTGGTACAGATAGACATTTTACTCAATGAAATCAATCTTAATAGGCATATAATTTTAAATGGCTGTTGAAACCATTTAATACCACAATATTTTACCTTTTTCTGAAAGCTTGAAGTGTAATTTAGTTTTGAATGGAAATTAAAATATACCTGACAGGAAAAACAGCAGCTAACATTATATAGTGTCTTAGCAAACGTGACTCACACCACCGCTCAGGATTTTTTCAAGTCCTTAACTTGGCCTTTGGTGGTGCCAGGAAGTCAAGGGTGACATTTTTCCCATCTCTTTACTGCTGTATTGAGAGAACATTACAGTGAGGCCAGACACACTGGCTGAGATTCGAATATTTTCTGGTAATCTGATGTGCTTCTCCAGAAAATTCTTACTTTTAGGGTGAAATTATAACTGACCCTTTTCTCAACTTCGTTTTTCAAAGGAGAAAAAATTGACTCACATCTCTATGAATTTTGAAAATCAAATAATTATACTGTAAAAATCTTTTCTCAAAAGTCAAAACATGAACCATGTGAAAAAATCAAGGAACCTTAACACGAAATTTATGCTAACAGAGATATCTCTAACAGTATGTCTTCCTCCAACACATACCTTTAAACATTTTTGGAGCTACCTTTTGATTTATAGTGAGATGCATGGAATTCTCAATTTACTTTTCCGCTAGCCTACCTAAATATTTGCTCTGGATTGATTATTTTATTTGATTTGCTCCTCCTAGCCCCCCACCCCCATGTGATGATCTTGAGTGATCATTCTTAAATCCTTTTTTTTCCACTGTCTGATCAAAGCTTTGTTCCCTTTTGTCAGAAAAATTCCAAGAGACTCTTTTTTCCTCTTTCTTTCTGACTGGCCCCATGGCCATAGCCTCCTCATCAACGCTGAATGCTCTAAAATGCTCCTTCGCTCTTCCCTTCACAGGCTGTGGCCACCCCCTCCTCTGTCTCTCGGCTCTCCTTGCTTGACTACAAGTTCTCTGAGGCACCGGCCGCAGCTTTCTTGTTCACAGGGCGTCCCTGGGCTCCAATGGAATGAGTACCTGGCACCAAATCGACACTGAAATTCTGTGGAATGCAAAAGTCCTGTTGTATTCTCTGTGGCCTGAACAGCTCTGTCCTTCCTTGGAATTCACAGACCCTGTCCTGTCTGCACTCCCTCCACAGACATGAAACCAAATAGCCAATATTTATTGAGCGCTTAGGATGGATCACCGCTTCACTATCGCCCTTCTGTAGGTGGGGACATCTCCTGTGTTAAGGTCCCCTTCTGGGTCCTCCAGGGTCCCCTCCTGACTGTTCCCGTTGCAGGTGGCAAGTACTGAACGAAGATCAAACCCCTTCACCCAGCAGCAAAGCACCACCTTCCCATAAATAGGGACTCCTCGCCGTTTCAGGCCTTTCTCTTGCTTAGTAAGAACCTATACACCAGGGCATCTGGGTGGCTCAGTCGGTTAAGCGTCTGCCTTCAGCTCAGGTCATGATCCCGGGGTCCTGGAATGGAGCCTGCGTTAGCCTCCCTGCTCAGTGGGGAGCCTGCTTCTCCCTCCCCCTCTGCTCCTTTCTCTCCCCTCGGCCCCCAGCTTGTGCTCTCTCTCTCTCTCTCTCTCTCTCTCTCAAGTAAATAAATAGAACATTAAAAAAGAAGGAGGAGGAGGAGGAGGAGGAGGAGGAGGAGGAGGAGGAAAGGAGAAACCTATACACCATCCAATCTGCATGTCTGGTATTCCATGAATACCTTCTGAGATTTCCCAGCTGCCCTCACTTTGTTCAACCTGCCCCCCGTTTGTTCAACCTGCCCTCAGTCTGAAACCACTGCTATGTTCTAACTTCCTTAGGTCTTCCTCAAATATCCACTATGCCTTCTTGGAAAGTCCCTCCTTCCGCACCAACATCAGCATTCTTAAGGTGCTCATCCCTAAAGACCACCAGGCTGCAGGGTCTGAGAGTGCGAATCCCTCTTTGCACGCACAGGACCAACGGCGCCTCTCAGAGTTCAATGCTTCTGCCCTGTGCCCAAGCCACAGGCATTAATGAATCTTGCTGGGGATAGGAATAAATCATTGCAAAAGGGGATGGAACTATGACATGCAAGGGAGAAAACAAAACTTTTTGAGATTAACTTTCTTGACTAGGGGTCTGAAGACTTTTTCAGTCAAGAGCCAGATAGTAAATATTTTAAGTTTTGCGGGTCACATGTGCTCTGTGACAATTACTTATCTCCACCTTCGCAGCACAAAAGCAGCCAGAGACAATATATCAACGAACATCTGTAGATGAGTTCCAACAAAACCCTGAGATCTCAAGTTCACATAATTTTCACATGTCACGAAATATTACTCTTCTGGTGATTTTCCTTCCCAACCATTCAAAATTGTAACAATCTTTCTTGGGGCACCTGGGTGGCTCAGTGGGTTAAGCCTCTGCCTTCAGCTCAGGTCATGATCTCAGGGTCCTGGGATCGAGCCCCGCATCGGGCTCTCTGCTCAGCAGGGAGCCTGCTTCCCTCTCTCTCTCTCTGCCTGCCTCTCTGCCTACTTGTGATCTCTTTCTCTGTGTCAAATAAATAAATAAAATCTTAAAAAAAAAAAAAATCTTTCTTAGTTGTAGATCATACAAAAACAGGCCTGGGGCTGGATTTGCCAGTGGGCCCTGGTGTGCTGATCCCTGCTCTGTGCCTGTGGTTCTTATTCACAGATCAAATTCCTTTGTAAATCGGATGGAAATCAGGTACCTCTCTCTGGGGTGGGGGTGGGGGAGTCTCCTTACATACATGCACACATTACCCAGAGCTCCATGGCCTCGATTAGGATCACAGGCTCCAGAAATGGGAAACTTTTCTAAAGTGGCATGGTTAGGGGAAAGGGCAGGCAAAGGGGAAAGAAAAGTCTTTAACACAATTAATGGGTCACCTTTACTAAGGGCTTTATCTATAAAAACCATACACGATATTTCAGGTTCAGAAATCAGCAGTAGAAAAGTAACTTTTTTCCCACTTGAAATTACGGAGTAATGGAATTTGGGAAGCCTGCCAGGGAACGCACATGCATCTGGCACTTGCCCTGACCATTTCTAGATCAAAGGTTCACAAACCTATGTCTTCCACTCTCTCTGTCACTCTCGGTAGCCCAAGGTGTACGCTGCACCCTCCGTATAGGCTGCTCGCCAGCCAGCAGACAGGACATTTTGAATCCTTTTGTAAACACACCGCTGTTTAATCACAGCTTCTCTTTAGGATTTGGAATTAAAGGGAGACAGAGCGGTGCTGCGGACCCCGCCCTGAGCCAAGATCGTGCCAGTCTAAGATGTCAGTGAATCATAAAAACTATATAAGGGAACCAATGGCCCAATTGTACTTTTTATTGAAAGGTTTAATTAAGTCCTACTTAGGACCAGAAATATCCAACAAGCAGATTTATCAACTATACTTTGCACTATATGCTGATTTTTTAAAAAGAATGCATGCATGAGCAAGTGGGGGAGGGGCAGAGAATCTCAAGCTGGCAGACTCCTTACCCAGCCTGGAGGCGAAGCCCAGCTGGGGCTGGATCTCATGACCCTGAGATCATGACCTGAGCCACCCAGGTGCCCCTCCATGCTGATTTTATTCTGTAAAAACAGAGAGGCTCTACTGAACAGACTGGTTATGTAATGGTGGGAAGGAGTGGAAGAGGGAATGTCAGGCAGCCTGGCCTTCCTTGAGCCAGCGACTGCCTCTCCGTCAGGCATAGCGATTCAATAAGCTCTTCTAATTTCTGGGACAATGTTGTTTTTAAGGAGAGTGTGGTTGACTTTAATACTAAAGCAATGGAGCGATTTCTGGACATAATAATAGGAGTGCACACCCATGAGCAGTTTACTATGTGCCAGGAACTGTTCCAAGTGCTCAACATAAAGCTTGTGGCACCCTACAGGGTAGGAATGCTAGGGATCCTATTTTGCAGACAAGGAAAGAGAGGTGTAGAGAGGTTAAGTAACTTGCCCAAGGTCACACACTGGGAAGTGTTGGGAGGCATGATTCAAACTAAGCCAGCTGGCTTCAGATTTTCTGTTCCTAGTAGCTCCCTCTATACAGAACCTCCACCCGTCCCTCTGGGAAATACGGTGGGCTAGCTTCACCCTCTTGCCTTTTTTTCAGGATAAAATTCCTCACTCTATGAGGTCTATTTATTCCCACAGCGTGTGTGTAAACTAAATAGCTGAATTCTATAAAGCAAATTATATTTGATAGTGCTGGGACAGACCTGCTTTTGAAGCATATTTCAAGCATATTTCAGAGACTCCTTTTGCAAAGTGACCGATGCCTTGTAAACAGTAGGCGTTTAATAAATGTCTGTTGCATTGCATTAATTCCCCTAATTTGTGTAAATGTTTCTTTTGGTATGTTAAGAGTACTTAACATCAGGTCGGCATTACTGACTGGGAAGAATATTGGAGAGAAATCGCTCCTCAGAGCAACCGCAGACGGTGGAGTGATTAATTCGGTGAATCAACCAAGGAAGCGGGCGTTCTGCCAGTGCTGGCCCCGGGCTCCATGCCACTCTCTGCTCTGATGGGGATGCCAGCCCTCCTGGGGCTGCTGACAGATCGCTGAGGAGAAGGATAGGTGGGGTGAGGGGGAGCCTGTCACAGAGGGCAGCACCCACAGCACATGAGGTCCTGAAGGGCTTCCTGTCTTGAGGTGTCGCTAGTTTCCTGGCTGTTTCAGTCCAGTTCCTTTATCTCCTGTGTGACAAGCCCACACCCTGACATCTCTACTTTATTGATCAAGGATTATCAACTGTTGGGAGGAGGCATTTATCTATTACATCACTCAGGAGCAGAAAAAATAGGGTGGGGCAGGTCATGAGCTGGGTGTGATGGGTCCCCGGAGCCGATCAGCAGATGTGGGGTGGGGTCACCTCAGTAGAATGTGCCCTTCCCAGTCCTCTAGCTCAGGCCAGGGAATGTGCAGATGGCTGGGAGAAGGCAGAAAAGAGGGACTGCTAGGCAGGGTCACTTGGAGGGTCGTCTTCGGTCCTGGCTGTGTAAACCATTCTACACACATAAAGTCACCCTCATCCCTCCACACAGAAGCTTATTCATTGATTCTACACATATTCATTGAGCACTTGCTGTGTTTCAGGCCCTGCACGAGAGGCACCAGATATAAAATATAAATATAAATATAGAAATGTAAATATAAATATTGTGAAGCCAGGCTCTAAAGAAAGCAGGTAGGGAGTTTATGATTTTATAATATATGTTGTTTTCTCTCAAGGATTTTGAGCTCACCAATTCCTCTTATAGTCATCAAGACAAATGAGCAGCCTAATGAATCTAATCCACTTGACCTCTAACTCAGGGAGGGCAGCGGGGAGGCTCCCTGCCTCTGGTAGGACTTTACTTGCTCAAAGCTGTGTGGAGCAAGGACGTGGCCTCAGAGGAAAATGAGTGATGGGCACACGGGGGCAGAGGAGGGGAGAAACACGCCCCACCCTCCTGGGGCTACACTCCAGGCGATCCTACACTCCAGGAGCTCGTGGATGGCTAGAAAACACGGCAGAAGGTGCTGGGCCGTGTCTGAAGAGGCACAATTTGCCTGTATTAACCTGGCCCCGCTGGAGGTTTGCGTGAGGCCAGAAAGTGGGGCATCACTGCCTGCTAGAACATTTTCCCCAGAGAGGAGCTCGAGCCTGGTTTTACATAAACTGCGGCCTCCCTGGTGTTAATAGAGACCAGAGCTGGATTTATAATTCCCTATATAACACATTCCTGAGGCATTTCCAGCAACGACTCCTCAGTAAAATACATCTCACACAAAATATCCCCAGTGAGTGAGGCAGTCCTCACCAGGAATGCAGCACAAAGAACCGCAAACAATGACTTAAGGGTTCATTTGTACGGGGCCAAAATGAAGTCCGTGAACTTGCGCACGTTTCCTAAGCTCAGCTCCTGGATGAGGCTTCTAAGGGGGGTAGAGCCCACAGATGAAGACCTGTGATATGGCCATGACAATGACACGGTAGGCGGTGTATTGAGTGAGATGTGAGTGGGGCATCAGGCATAGTCCCCACCCACAGGAAACACTTGATGCATCGAAAACCCATTATTCGATGAGTCTGGTTTGGCAGGTGAGGGCCTCTGTCCTATTCCCAGATCCCATGCTAACTGCTGTGTGACCTTGAGCAAAAGAGTTTCCCTCTCTAAGCCTTAGTTAGCTCATCTGTGTCCCACAGCATTGTTCTCAGTGTGTTCCGGAAGCCCACAGGTTCTGTCTAATATCCTGACTCCTGGAGGAAGCAGATGGGGACAAGGCCTGTGCCTGCAACCTGAGTGGTAATGGTCTGGTTGGTTTCTGGACCTGCACTGCTGTGTTTTGTCTCACTTGAAAAAAAGCCTTTGGGTCCTTTCCACAGTTTATAGACCACGAGTGAGGTCTAAAGCCCCTTCCAGATCTAAGGTTCTTCAGAGTAGGGGCTTATGGCTCATTCTCCCAGCAGAAAGATGTTGGTCATAGACCGAGAGTTACCTCCAGGCCCTGCTGCTCTTTCCCTGGACAGCCCTGTACTCCCCACACATGGGTTACCTTCCCCTTCAGAGCCATCCCCCTGGGCTGTGCCCTGTGGTTCTTTCCTGCTCAAGCCACATATGCCCCAGGATACTTTCTCTCATCCCTGGGGTCATCAAAACCCATCTCCCCCACCTCAGAATGTTTCTGCCCTTCTGTGTATGCCTCTGAAGTATTTCCCTTCAGGGTCATTTATCGGAATATATTCTATCCTCTGCTTGGTCGTAAGTGCTAAAAAGATAGTAGCTCAGCCCTATGGACATCTGTTACGTAAACAGCAGCTGCTCAGTCAATGTTGACAGACGAGATGACTGGATGGGGCCACACAGCAGATTTTAAAACCTTCAGGTAAATTTTTATACCTTTGGGCAAACTCAGAAAAAGCAATTTTTAAAAATTTACTGATAATTTATTTTTTTCCTCCAAATGAATAGGTTAAAAAGATATTTCTAATGAAGTCAATGAATTAATGACTACAGAGCAGAGCCTAAGGCATTCCTGATGTGGTGCATTCAACCCTGACAAGGCTGCTTCCATGTTGCTCTGATGGTAACTCCAGGAAGCTGAGAGCAGTGGTTGAATTCACACAGAGAAGGGCGGCTAGCAGAGTACTTGTAAGCTCTTTCTTCTAAGTCAGACAGGACTGAATACAGACTCCTACTTGGTCATTTTCTTAACTTCTAGGCCTCATTTCCTTATTTGTAGAAGAGGCATATAATTATAGTTGTTGGAAAGAGCTACTTTAAAGACTAAGACTAATACAAAGCCTGTAATCATGCCCTGAGTCTGGCACATCGTGAGCGCTCAGTATCTACTAGTTATTATTTAAAAGCAACAAGAAAACCAACACAATGAACAGAAATGAATAGAAAGCAACTCACAGCCGTAAGCTGCACGCAATGCCAGGTGGTTATCTTTACAGGAAAAGCACAGGGGGCTGAGGGTGTGCGGTGGCAGACTTTCAAACCACCAACGATTATTTAAGCAAGTGACATCCTGGGGCATGTCGGTGTCATGAGGATCCCTAAATTTCTCCGGTTCTCATGGGGACCTGCACAGCCCTTGTGATCTGACCTCACTCTTATCACTCACCTCTTCACTCACACTGCTCTGTTTGCTTGGCCTCCTTGCAGGTCTTCTCACAGACCAGGCACAGCCTCCCTGTGGGGCCTTTGCACCTGCTCTTCCTCTGCATGGATACCGAACCCCCAGCTACTCAGGTGGCAAGCTGGCCCTCTGTCTTATGTCACTGCCCACGGGCCATCTTGTGAGAGAGGGCTTCCTTCCCTGACCTCCACCATCACTAACCCCTTGCCTGCTTTGATGGTTTTCACAATTTTCTGTCCACCTGGTTGTTGTCTGCCTCCCCCACCTTGAATGCAGGCTCCATGATTCCCGGGACTCTGGATGCTCTAGTCACTGTGCGACCCCATCACGGTAACTGTGCTCAACATGAAGACATGAAGTGGGGGCTCACCAAAGAGTGGCTGATGAAGGGCTTCTGGGCGTGGGGGGACACCACTGGACACTAACCCTGATTCTGCCATTCATTTTTAAAATGTTCTCCCTGAGATCTGTGAAACTGTACGACCCACACGTTCTGATCAAGACACTTACCCTGTTGAAATAGCATCAGGAGGAGTGATTTCTACTGAAGTTGCATTGGTGTTTGGGTTGAGATTGTCGGTTTTTACAACAAAGAGCTTTACGGTTGGATTTACAGCTCCTGCCTAGGAAAAATCAGTAACAGAATTGATATGGACAAAAAATACCACATCTTTGCACAGGTTTACAACTGTACCAAAATGTCTACATTAGAGCAATAAAATTATAATCACAAGACACGTTAAAAATCTATATAGGTAAATCTAATACAGATAAAATGAACATAAAAGAGAGTCATGAAACGCAACTTTTTCATGTTCGGGCAGAAACTTGTCTATTGACAGCCCCTAGCACTCCTGTTTAAATCATGAATGTTCATAACTCAATGTGTTTTGTGCAAACAAGGACAAACTTTTAAAAAATCAATTCTATTATTTTGCAAATATACTCTGACTCCAGAAGGCAAAAAGTCTAATGGCTGACAACTAGGAAGAATACCCTGGGTTCAGCCAAAGACACAATCCACCAGGAAAATGAGTTTACCTGAGCCAAGAGCCAATAACGCTAATGAGGAAGCCATCATTTGCACTCCAAATTCGAGTTCACCACGTTCGAGCTTTACAATCAATATGAAGACAGAAATCTACAAAACTTTTTTATATATACACACAGACCTTCAATTGACAAATTAGTTAGAAATAATATATTTTTAGTGGGAGCATTTCATGTTTTTTTTTTTTTTTTTGCCAGTTTCACTCATCAAAAAATAACATTCCACTGAAAATACATCTCTATATTTAGTCTAGGATCCTTTTTTTTCTTTTTACTTCCTCTGTCTTCCTAAAATGGCAGCTCTTCATGAAGAAAATTGAGTGAGTTGGTAAAAATAAAAATCCCTTTTCCCAAGTTGCTTACAGCAGAAACATTTACTATTAGATTTTCCTATAGACGATTCTGTGGCCATTAATATTATGATACTAGTGAAGAATCCTGGTTGCCTTCTAAATCCCCCTCTTCCTCGGTTTACACTGCTTAACAAAGCTGTTGGATTTTCATAAATATGCATCCCGTAGGGGGAGAACAGCCTTGCAAACCAAGATGTGAGACCATTATTCCAAATGCAGGACGTGTGAAATTCACATTAGTGCCAAATCTATACCAGAATCCCTGAAACTAGTTATGAATCGGTTAATTAGCAATACAACCTGATATGTAACCGAGCTTTTCAACTTCATCCAGGGTACATTCCAACTTCTACAAATAAGAGGAGTTTGTGATTCAAGGACAGCTTCTCTTTTCCTCCACTGAAACATTCTCATTCCCCCTACCTCTTTCAAAAGCATTTTCCCCATCTTTTTCGGCTTGTCATTCCTCAAAGTTTTTGGAGAAATTACAAAACCTTAAATCACACTCTTTCCTGGGATAATAAAAATACTTTAAAATTGCCAGATGCTGTTGACTTCAGCAAGAGTAATCACAGCAAGCTGTTGAAGAGAGACTGACAATATTTTCATTAGCAGGAAAGGATTAAATGAAACCATTCTCTTCCTATCAAATCACGGAACCACTACGTGAACAGGAGCACAGACCTTCGGATATGGAATCCGCACGGTCTTTGGGTACTGCAGCGACTCGTCAGAGTAGAAGGAGTATTCAATAAGTGGGACTTCTGTGTCGTTAAATTGGGCATATGCTAAAAAAGTGCCTTTTGGAGACCACCACAGAGCAGAGTAGGCACTGAAGATTTCCTCTGAAAAAAGACATAAATTGTTCTGTTACAAGAAGTAGCTGATAAATTGGCTTTGGCATTCAAAATATTGTTCTCATTAGCTTTAGTAATTACAGTAGAGTTCAACTAATGAACCATTTTGCATTTGTTGGGCTTCCAAATTCAGAGTAATACAAATGAATAAAAATAAAATCTTCAAGGATAGATCTGGATTGTAAAAATAAGTAACCCGTTGGACCATTTTAGAATATTTTAGCACACAATATTTAATATAAGCTCTACATTTTTTTCTTTATCTTATAATCCTCTAAATTTATGCCGCAAAACATACTAAAAGTAAATTTCACACAAGGGGCTGATTCTCCTTTCTAATTTTCAAACAGTCAACATGCCAGCATACTCTCCCCAACTGGGCTCAGTTTGTACTGTGCCCACAGGGTACTGGTGGGTGGTGTGTGGTTCCAGACTATCGAACTAATATGGTGCCCACAGTTTACTACTCTTGGCACAAACAGGGTGTGGGAAGGATGGATTTAGAATGACAAGGCTCTCTGTGAGACCCCAATTGAAAAACATCTCCTTCGCTTAGCCTCAAAACTAAAGACTCTAGCGGGTTAGCGTACTCCTCTGCTGCCTACAGTGATGGTAAGGGAAGAGGGTCAAAGAGACAGGCAAATGAAAGGAGAGGTTTTGCTCTCCAGAATGGTGTTGGACTCGTTCTCATTCTCTGGCAAATGTAGTTCTTTCCTGTGTTTATTATTGAGTCTCTTCATGGGACTTCCATTGTTTGGCTCTTAAAATGCCGAAACCTCTTTCATGGAGGGTTCAGGTAGACCAAATGGAGACTCCTAGTCCTTTATGCAGATTTAATTTACAAAATCTCATGTTCTGCTGTGGGGGAGGAGGGGGGAAGGTAAAAGCAGAAGTAAAGAAACTTGAGTCTTAGAGTTAGGAAATCATCTGTCCCCATCACTTTTCTGATTCCTGAGGCCTCTTTACAAGTGTCTTCCAAATGTTGGTTTTCAATAATAATAATGATAATGGTAATAGTAGTGGCAGTAACAGTAACAACGATAACAATAGTAACACAGTGTAATAATAATCACTATGATGAGCAACCAACATTTAGAGAGTGCTAACCATGAGGTAGATTTGATATGCAACCAACATCTATGATCTCTGGTAATCCTCACAGTAGCTCATCGTGCAGGTGAGAAAGGGGCAGTTTTGCTTAAAGAGAAGTCATTGCCCATAGTCACATGGCCAATAATTGACTGACTCAAGAATGAATCCAGACTTGTCTAGTTTGAATCCATGCTTCTCACCTCCATGCTCTACGTCTTTCCATGCCTATTTCAGTTCTTCCGGTAACAGAAAACCTACTGGGTAAGGCAGCCTGTTCTGGCTTTATCTGTCTTCTACCTATGTCATAGTTTCATTTGTGCAGTAATTTAGAATTTACAAAACACTTATCTAATTTAGTCTTTACAAAGATGCCTAGATGAGTCTATTCTATTTATATCCCATTTTACAGACAAGGCAACTGATGGGCTTAGAGAGAGAGAATATGAATTGCCAGAGATAAGACAGGGATACAGGCCCGTGACTCGGAGTCTAGGGGTTTCTACCAAGAACTTCTTCAGATAATGAGTGGATGTCTCTTTCCTGTGGCTTCTACCCATTGGTTTCCAGTCTAAGATCAAGATGCAAATTCCATAAAAAGAAAACAATTACAGCAAGATTATGGTTTTTAAAATTGCTTTTAAGTAAAGGTAACAGGTAATATCTATGTTTTGATTGGTAATATAGAACATATTGTTCTATAATTATATATAGAACATATCCTTCCATACAGGAATGTATTAAAACCATTATTATAAAACTACTTCTAGTCAAACTCCAAGTTCTGAGAATGAATAGTAGGGAGAAGGGAGAATAACAGAGGGGGGAACAGATTTCCAGTGCTTTCTGATACAAAGCTGACTGTGAGCACAAGTGTCTGTGGCACCCCCTCCCCCACCCCCTGAACCTCCCTCACCTGCGATATCCTGTGATACCTGCCGTCTGGCCACTCTGACCTTCCCTTGGACTTACTGCCTGCCCCTGAATAGGTCCCTTGATTCACTCTATGAGAATTACCAATTGACCTCTTTTTCTCCCGCTCTGGGCTGAATTCCCTGAGAGCAGCCATTGGATAGCTTTTTTTCCCTGTGTCTCTAGAACCTGACATAGCACCTCATAGGTACTTGGCACTCTCTGAATTACCCACACCCCCACTGTCAGCCCAGCTACCATAGGGCGAAGAGGGCTCCATCTTCCAAGCTTATTTCTTTCTCTATCCCTCTTCATCCTCCCTCTCAAAATTCTCATTCTCACTTCTTGTTAGGTAAACTATACTCATACTTTCGAGTGAATGTCATGGGATTCACTTCAAACCAGGAGATAAAGTATTCTTATTTTTACAAAAGAAGACACTTGTTAACTAAAGTAATAATTTAAAAATCATGAAAGAAAACAAAGTGAAAACGTTAAGACATTGAGAAAGAAAGTAATTTGGGATTCTGGGGCAGGGCTGGGGACACATGTCCCAGAGGGTAGGCTGCTGTGTGAGTGTTCCTCCATGATGTGGCAGAAAGCCCCATCTGGCCTTTGCAACTTTCTTTCTTCTTTTACTTATGAACCTATAAATTCTCAAAATCTACTTGTTCAGTCTTATACTCAACAAGCGTTCATGGCTGCAATGGAGACGCTGCATGGGAAGACAGATCTCATATATGGAGATACAAGTGTGCTCTTTCCAAATATGGATCATTCATAAATATATAAAACCAATTATAGGAAGTTCCCCAGAGGAACCAAAGTCTATTTTTTAGCGACAGACCCACACTGGAACTGGGAAGCCATTCTTCTGTTTGTCATCAACACACAAAATGAGATCTTTCCAGCTCTTATCTACCTAAGAAAGGACTAATAGTGTTAGTTGTGTTTTCATCCTAGAGATACTCAGATGTTTCGAGGAAGGGTCGAGTTGCAGCTTTGGGAAGAAGCCTTATCCAGGTTGCTTTGGGGGTCCTGCAGGTTGTGCTGTGCTATCCAGCAAGTGTTTTTCAATTGCTAAGTGACAAGTGCTAGCAAATTTCATTATAAATTTTTTCTGGGTCATGGGGATTTATCTTTCTTTTAAAGTGATTGTTGTTGTTGTTGTTACAATGTTAGTCATTTAACTGAACTTGACTTGTACTGGGTAAGAACCAAAATTAACTCATGAAGAAAAACTCTTTTTCTTTTTTTTTTTAACTATGAGGAAGAAATAAGAAGATGAAATAGGATGAGAACTTAATAAGCGTTAGGCAACTTTGTGAACAGTCTGGAATAGCCTCAAAATGCCTTTTACCTTGGCAGCTATAGATGCGAAAAATGTTTTTCTAATATTTTCTTAAACTCTATCCTAAAAGAGAATAATCCTTTTTAATAATTTTAGTTCTTTTTATCTTTACTGATTTTCCTTCAGAAGACTTTCTAATTATTTTTTCCTGCTTTAAAAACAGGAAATTATGATTTGTCCAAGTTCAAATGAACACATATTCTCTGTAAAACAGATGCTTTCTTCCCCCTCTATTCTCCAGCCTCCAGACAATATTTTGTCAGCTCTTGGAATGCTGTGGGAGTATTTAGCTTTCCTTAGTAACTCTGGGTTAGGTAGGCCCAGTTAGAGAAACATCTGATGTTAATCTGCAAGCTTTTATGCCCCAGTAAAGCAGAAAAGCTACCTATACAGAAAGGCCCTTTGTAGGAGGAGACTGAAGACAATAGAGGCATTGAGAGACAACGAGGACATCAGGGAAACTAGCCACTGTTAAGAAATCCTTGTTCTGGGAGACACCTGGTATTGTGAGTGCTAAAGAGATTTGATGACTTTAAAAAAAAAAATGCAACTTATTTTGAATGCCATTGAACTTCTCCATTTTAAGAGAAATGTTTAACTATTTAAAAAAAACTTACAAATTTTCTAATTCGAAAAAGCTTTAAAATCTCTACCTTCATAAACCCAGTCAGTTATTCCATTGGATATTACATTTTCTTCTCCGGTCCATGTGATCCTCTGACTTGTTGAATTTGGTTCATTTTTAACATAAATATCATTGTTCCAAACGTATGCCTAGAAATGTTGAAAAACAGATTGGTGAGTAATAACCTGTTATAACATATCTTATTCTGGAGTTAAAAGATATCTGTCAACTGTTTTATCCTCAAATAATATTGACATGTCAATGTAATGATTACCTTGGGTTATTCAATTTCAGCAAGATAGTCATTCACTACCCTCTCACATTTATTTATTTTATTTATTTATTTCTTTAAAAGATTTTATTTATTTATTTATTACAGAGAGAGAGAGAGAGCCCAAGCACGGGGAGGAGTAGAGGGAGAGGGAGGAGCAGGTTCCTAGCAGGGAGTCCGGTGTGGGACTGGATCCTAGGACCCCGGGATCACCACGTGAGCCAAAGGCAGACGCTTAACTGAATGAGCCACCCAGATGACCCACCCTTTGCATTTTAAAAATCATTAAGTATACAAGCTATAACTCCAAATAATTCTAAAGACACTCAATATATTAAAAAGAAGCAGCTCAGCTCACAAACCCCACTGTTTGAATGCTGGAGTGCCTGTGAAGTCTCAGGAGCCTGACCATTTCTACAGAATAATGTCTGCTTCCCATTGCATTCTGGGGGCGGTGAGTTGAGGGAGTGCATTGGATGTTGGGAGGGAGAATTCTGTCTACAAATGAACATCCCGTCTTCCTATGCAGACTCTTTTGCACTTCTGACATTCTCCTAGCATTAAGAACATGAAGGTATATCTATAGGGACACAGAGAAGGTCACAGAACCAGCAGGAAGGAGGTACACCCCCCAAAACAAACAAACAAGCAAACAGCAGCAAACTGAATACAAGAGAAATTAAAATTTTAATGGGTATTTTCCCAGTCAATAATGAATTCTCCAGTAGTAGTTCAGAAACTTTCAGGAATCCTATTTACTGTGTTAGACTAGTAATATGCTATTTTAGGCAATAACACTATCTTTGACGTTGAAGTATTTGCTTCTGAAGTGTCTGCTCTGTGTCAGGTTATGTAGCTTCTGCATGTGAGAGCGTTGAGTCATTATTTTTTTCTGAAAACAGAAGAGACTCACTAACCAATTTATGACCCTCTGGTGACCATGTGATCCACTGTGTCTTGTCTGGAATTTTATCTTCTGTAATCAGCCTCCTGAAAAAAGAGAAAAGGCAACATTACCAAATGAATAAATCACAGTGGGATTTCCTTTTTGAAAAAAATGTTATTGCGCTAAAGAAGCTTACAGATTTTACAAGGAAGTCACTGACCTTTTAGCTAAGTCATAGATGTCATATGAAGCCGTGTAAGAATGCCTCCATTGCTATAAAAGAAAACAGGCATCTCAGACTTCTGTGATTCTTGACAGTTAAGCCACTTGCTATAGGAGCACAAGATGACATGTGAAGTAATATGACATTGTATAAATCTCACATTTTATCATGTCTTATAATTCCTAGCTCAATCCTTACAATTTTGGAATTAGGAAGAGATTCTTAGAGAATATCTAGTATGAATTCCTCTGAACCGCGTCTGTAACCTAGCTCTGGCATCACCCCTGCCAAGGAAACTTCTCAAGATCACAGTGGGCTGAAGTGTTGCTTCACGGCCAACATCACTCCTAACATTAACCATAACATGGGAAGTCTACCTGTCCAAGAAAATACAAGTTTTTACTTTTTTTTTTTTTAAGATTTATTTATTTATTTATTTGACAGACAGAGATCACAAGTAGGCAGAGAAGCAAGCAGAGAGAGGGGGAAGCAGGCTTGAGGATGGTGGGGGAGCAGGCTTCCCACTGAGCAGAGAGCCCGATGCGGGGCTCAATCCCAGAACCCTGGGATCATGACCTGAGCCGAAGGCAGAGACTTTAACCCACTGAGCCACCCAGGCGCCCCACAAGTTTTACTTTTCAACCATCTTACTGACAAAATACTTAAAAGTGTTTGATGTGGAGAAATACTTTCCTACGTTGATCATGAAAATATAAAGGGCTACAGATTTTTTGAAAGTCACCTGGCCAAAAAAATAAAAAAAGAAAGCCACCTGGCAGTATCTGTTAACATTGAAACATATATACCATTGATATTTTAAACTGCCGTCTCAAGAATTAAAATTCTTAAATTTTAAAATGGGATTAAAATGGGATTAAAAGCTCTTAAGACCTTTTATAAACATTGTTTTGCCAATAAATGTAGAAGTTTAAAAAGGGACAAATTCCTTGGAAAACAAGTTATCAAAACTGAGACCAAAAAATGGAAACTCTGTATAGTCTTATACCTAAAAAGATATTGAATCAATAAATGAAAACATGTGCACAAAGGAAACTCCAAACCCAAATACCTTTAGCAGCAAACTCCTTGTTATTTAACCAAAGGAACTAAAAACTTACCCATATACAAAAACCCTCCACACAAATTTTTAGTTTTATTCATAACTGCCAAAACTTAGAAGAACCAAGATGTCCTTCAACAGGTGGTGGGTAAACAAACTATGGTCCATCCAGACACTGGAATATTATTTACCAACAAAATGGGCTATTACATCACAAAAAGCCATGGAAGAAACTCAAATGCATATTTTCCTGTGAGAAAAACCAATCTGAAAAGATTACATATTGTATGACTCCAACCATATGACATTTTGGAAAAGGCAAAATTATGGAGACAATCAAAAGATCAGTTGTTGCTAAGGGTTCGGAGGAAGGGAGGGATGAAAAGCTGAAGCAAAATATCCTCCATGATACCAGGATGGCGGGTACATGTCATTATACCTTATAGATCTGCCAAAACCCATAGAATGTACAACATAATGAACCCTAATGAGAACTATGGACTTTAGTTGGTTATAATGTATCAATAATGGCTCATCAATTGTAATGAATGTATCATACTAATGCAAAATGTTAATGATATCGGAAACTGGGACAGAGGTTGGGGGGAGATGATGAGGATGTATGTGGGAACTCTGTATTTTCCACTCATATTCTCTAAGCCTAAAGCTGTTCTAAAAGAATTAAGTCTATTAATTTAAAAATAAATGAATTCGAGCTATGCCAGATAACTTGGAAGAAGTTCCACACAGAATCATTGAGAAATGCAAATTACAGAAAAGTATGGAAAATAGGATTTTATTTTTTATAGAATAAGCAATGACTAAAATAATATCTATCTTCATAAAATATCTATCTTCATAGAATTATTTGAATAAGGGCAAAATATAAAATATGGAGAGAGAGATATACTAGGTTCATTAACATGTGATACTTGGGGAAAAGGTGGGGGAGAGATGAGGAGTAAGGAGACAGACATAAGAGGAAAAGAGATAAGACTGAAGAATACATATATATATATAATGTATATATACACACACACATACACATGCACACAGATTTGCATTTATGAAAAATTATATTTATATGTGGATGCATTTATACATTAAAGATATTTTAAAAGAAATTACATGTCTTTATGTCTGTCTTCCCTACCATAATCCTAGATGTAAGAAATTGTGTCTTATTCATCTTTAAATCTGAAGTCTCATCTAGTGCAAGTCGCATAGTCTCTGTTCAAGAAATAAGCCAAACTAACAAAAAAATAAAATTTTACCCATGAAAATGAAGTCAATGAAATGGGTAGCCCAAGGATACCCAGCTTGTATAAGACAGAGCTGAGATACAAGCCAAAGGTTCTAACCTTGAAGAGTATTTCCCACTTATCATTTATCATCCTTCTATCCTCTCATGTCAACAATTACGTATTAAGACCTTACTTTTTGAAAGTCATACTTTTTTAAAAATCCTGGATTATTTTGACACAATCCATGCTTGTTCCTGGGAAACCTTTGAATACTCTACTTGAAAGAGCCAAAAGGTTTATATTACAGGCTAAAAATATGAAGAGGTTTAAGAAGGTTTGAGATCGCTCAGGATGACAGATCCATCATGAGATGCAAAAAGAAACCCAAAAAGTTTGGAATGTTCACTTCGTCTTTTGAAACAGACTCATCCTTCTATTAAGGTTAGAAACTTTGGCAATTCTCCTCTCTCAGGCATTACTGGATAAGACAGGCTCAATTTCCTTGAGGAGCTGCTAGTTGAATGGGGGATATATATGGGCAAGTAAACACAAGGAAAGAACCACAGGACATCTAACAGAGGTAGGTGGGGAGAGGCAGGAATCACAAATCAGGCCTTGGGGAGAGAGAAAGGTCAATGGAAAAGTTGATTGTTAGACTGAGTCTCAAAGCAGAGAACTGCCACACAGGGAAGGGGTTAAAAAAGCATCATAGCAGAAAGACTTTGAAGCACAAAGTTGGGAAAGATTATGTTTAAGAGTTCAAGATTTGGAGCTTCTAATCTGGATTCAAGTCTGGCTATATACACTGAATGTTTGTTGCCCACCCTCCACCATCCATATGTTGATCCTAATCCCGCAACCCCCACCCCCACCCCTCCCGTGTGATGATGTTGGAAGTGAGCCTTTGGGAAATAACAAGCTCATGAGGGTAGGTCCCTCATGTATGGGATTAGTTCCTTTATAAAAGAGACTCCAAAAATATTCCATGCCCCTTCTCTATTTGAGGACATGGAGAAGACGGTCAACTATGTTCCATCAAGTGCGATGTCACCAGACACTGAAACGGCTAGCACCTTGACCTTGGACTTCTTTCTCAACTTCCAGAACTATGAGAAATAGATGGGTTATTAACCCACCCAGTCTATGGTACTCTGTTAGAGCAGCTTAAAAGGACCAAGACCAGTCTCTGCTGTGTAATATCAGGCAATTTTTTTCTAAGCTTCAATTTTCTCTCTAGGAAAATGCGGCTGATGTCAGCCACAATCTCATAAGAGGTTCGTGAGAATACATGTGAAGTCTGAGCAGGGCCCTAGAATATTGTCAACATATCATAGTTGTTGCAACTATTACCTCTGGAGCACTCAGCAGTGAATGGAGATGCTGGGGAAACATCCATAGCAGGCTGTAGGGTACAACATAGAAGTAATACTGCTCTTTCTGAATGCACTAACTCTGTCATGGAAAAGCCATGGAGTAGAATCTAAAGAACTTTGCACAGCAGACCTCCAAGGAAAGAGCATAAAACTAGACTTTTCTTTGTTTTGGGTAAATTTATTGAGAACTGATTAGTCAACTGGAATATTGTCCGCATGCGATAGGGGTTGCAACTGTGACTCATTCTGGAGCATGAGGCAATGAGCAGAAATTATTGTAAGTTGCACATGTATGCTGTACAGAAAACTGTAGTGGATACTTTAAGAAATAAAAAAGAAGATAGAGTGCTCTACTTTCAATGACCTTATAATTTAGCACTCTGCAATCAAAGGTATAAAAAGAGTAAAATAAGCTAATGTGATAGAGAGTGAATGGTGGAGTGTGGGAGAACAGAGTGGCAGGGGGCAAATTTAGGTGTAGCAATCTAAGAAAGCCTAAACCTGAATTACTAAAAAAGGGAACGCTGTTAGATAATCAGCGGAAGAAGGTTCCAGGAGGAAACGATAGCAAATACTTTGGCCCTTAGATGGGAATGAATGATGCTTGAGAAATTTGAAGAGTGCCCCTAAAGGTTCTCCGACCACTAAATCACCCGGGAGCCCTTAAGTCATAGGGGAACCCTTGTCTGCTGTTGCCCCCCATTACCACACTGAACTAGTTGGTGTGGGGTAGGCTGCAGGCATTTGCATTTTTAAAAACCTCCAGAGGTGACTGCAAGGTTCAGGCAGGGGTGAGAAGCACTGGCCAAGCACGGTGAGTCTAGAGAGGGTAACGGACGATGGGTTAGCAAGGATGGAATGAGGTCCAGTCACACAGGCTTCTGAGGATGCTGTGGTTAGAGTTTGTGTTTTATTCTGAAAGTGATGGGAAACCACTGGTCATGAGGGGTTAGGCACAGGCATGATATAACCTACCCTAGGTTTTAAAAGGAGCACTGTAGGGACTGCCTGAAATGCATGCATGGCAGTGGGATGAGGGAATAGCATGAAAACAGCAAAAACAGCTAAATGCACATGGAAACTCCAGGGACTCCATAAATGCAAACTACTAGTGATGGTTGTCCAGCTGAGGTCTACCAGTGAAATACAACATACGACACTTACTGAACTTGGCCAAACAGTAAATTGTGCTGCCATTTACCTTTCTGTTTCTACCTTCACCTCATTGTCTTTATATGTTTGTCCTGAACATGGGCAATGGCTATTCAGTAGTTCTCTACCCTGGTTGCTCATTCAGAATCTACCCATTAAAAAAAAAAAGATGTCAACTTCACTCCTGAGGCTCTAATTTATTAATCTGGAGATTGGACCTGGCCACTGGGAATTTTTAGAAGCTAATCAAGTTATTTTCATCTTCAGACACCAATAAAAACCACTGAATTAAGTAAATAATCCATTAATTGGGAACTAGGATTCTGACCGGCTCCCAGCTGATAGGGTTAGTAGTACAATCCGAGAGTCTTCATGTCCAGGAAATGGAGCTAGACACCGTGAGCTCAGGGTAAATACTATGATTCAAAGTTACCACATTGGAATGGGAAATGGAGTAGGAAATGGTTTGCTTTGCCTGAGTAAAGAAGCGTTGGGGTATGAGATAAGGCCCCTCAGTATTTGTTATTTATTCTAGAATAGAAGGGCAAAGGTGGGGATTCCCAGCTTTGTATTTTGTTTTTAAAGCAGAATATCCCTACAGGGTTTTTTAAAATTTTTTAAAATTATTTTTATTAACATATGATGTATTATTTGCCCCAGGGGTAAATAATCTATGAATCATCAAGCTTACACATTTCACAGCACTCACCATAGCCCATACCCTCCCCAATGTCCATCATCCAACCACCCTCTCACCCTCTCCCCACCCCCAACCTTCCCCCACAACCCCCCCCGCAACCCTCAGTTTGTTTCTTGAGATTAAGAGTCTCTTATGGTTTGTCTCCCTCCTGATCCCATCTTGTTTCATTTTTTCCTTGCCTACACCCCACAACCTCCCCCCCCCCCACCGCCTTAATGTTTCCTACAAATCTCAAAACTTCCTGTATTTGGTGACAGTTGTCAAATTCAGGAATAACTAAAAAGCTACAGTTAAAGGTACTGGCGATTTGCAGCCAGCCTGACCATGAAGAGGATGCGTGATTAAACTTTCCTGAGATGTGAGGATCTGATGTTGGGCTGAGGCTCTGCCTTGAGAACTGTTTGTATATGGTGGCACCTGAAGGCTGCAAGGTGGTCTGAGTCACATTGCAAAGTCTCTTCTGGAGGATAGGAAGTACAACTCTTTGTAAGGTAAATACTTATTGAGAGTTTTACTTTATGTAAAGTTGAGACAAAGGAAATAAGGGGTTCTATTACTGGCTGTGCAAATCAGACATGGAAGCTTGCTTTTAAATTACAAGTTTCCTTTGTTAACTTATGCTTTTAGTATCTATGATACATTACTTATACTTCTTAGCATTTAAAAACACTAAAATGAATTTCTTTTAAAACAGTTGTTGGACCTACCTTTTATGAACGAGAATGGCTATTTCTTCTTTTGATGCTGAATTAATGAGCTTTTAGTGCCTATCATATTACTTAGGTGTCAATCTCTTTTTTTTTAATTTAAATGTTGTGAGTTAGCGTACAGTACTATATTGGTTCCTGGAGCAGAAGTCAGACATTCATCACCTATATGCAACACCCAGTACCCATCACAAGTACCTCCTTAATGCCCATCACCCACCTCCCTCCAATCAACCCTCAGTTTGTTCTGTACTTACACGTCAACCTTAAATATTCACGGACTAGAAATCAGTTATAAAATAACACACTCATAAGATTCTTTAAATGTCACAGTAAGAAAGCATTTCTTTTACCTTCACATAGTTATACTCTAAGAGAATAAACTGTCCATCAGGAGATACCGAATAATCATTTATAGTATGTTCAAATTCCTCCTGTCAAACAAGTAGAAAAAAGAACAATTGAACAATTGCACTTAACAATCATTACTGAGCACTTACTACATAGAGGGTATAGTTCTAGACAGACATATGGCTCATGCCTTGGGAGCTCTTAGAAATGGCACAATCCCCCCCCACAAATGATCATGATGCGAGGTGTATGGTTATCAGGGTTAGAGAACCAGGCAGGGAAGAATTAAATCTAACCAAGGGAAGACCACCATGAGCGTAGGGATCAGGAAGAGAGAGAAAAATTTCCCAGCAGGGGGAAGAGCATGAGCAAAAAACCAGATGTAGGAGAGAGCATGCATATTAAGAGTGCCCAGAGGTTTGGTGTAAACTGAGTACAGTATAGGGTACATCAGACAACATATAAAAGAGGGCATGGAATTAGAAAAGCAGCTGGGCCTGAAATATAAGAAGTGGAACTCTAAACCACTTTTTGTACATGGATGTGATAGAGTCTTATCTCTCTTTACAGAGATGCTCTGGGACATGGTGGCAGACATGAGATGAGAGGGCCTCCATCAGCCCTGGCCTTGGGCAACGCAATGGTCTCATCTTCAGAATGGAGACAGGGACACAAGACTGGAGTACTAACACAGATTAAAAAGGCCTTGAACCAGGGCTCTACGGTGGAGATAGGAATCCAAGGGACACGACATTGTAGAGGAAGAAGTGATAGGTTTTGTTAAATGGCCAAATACGAGGGATGGCAGAGGAATCAAGGAAGATTCTGAGGATTCAGGGAGTAGAATTTCACTTTTTAGCCTACGTGACTTGGAGGGGAGCATAATTTACCGAGATTGCGAGCTCAGGAAGAGGAATAGGGTGCTTTCAGCTTGAGAGGAGAATGAAAGGGAAATAATGAGTTGAGTTTGGGATACTGAGCTTAAAATACCTGCAGGTCACGGGTGGGCAGGAGCAAGCCAGCTATGCGAAATAGAGACTTTGATCTTGGCCGAAGGTTAGTGTTGAGAATGTGCATTCGAGAATCAAGGCCAGACAGGAGAGCCCTCTTGCTGGGGAAGGGCATGAAATTCACTGAAGGAGAGCAGGCAAACTGTGGAGAGAGGCCAGCAAGAGAAGACAGAGCCCTGATGGGCACTTACGCTTAGGAGTATGGGCAGAGGAGGAGGAATCGTCAAGGGAGACTAAAAGGTAGCCAAGGCAGGGAGCATTCCAAGAAGGAGAGAAAGATCCACTGTGCCATATGCTGCAGAGAGAGTTCAACAGGATGAGAAATGATAGTACTCATGATTTGAAAGGTTATGAAAAAAAAATCCTCAGAATTTCCTTAAAGTATAAATGCATTATGCAATCAAACATACAAATGTACTGTTTTCCAAGAAAATGGAGCTGTTTCCGTATTCAGCATTGAATAGCAAGATATTATTTTCTTGTTTGTAGAGGTACTCCTGATCTAAAGAAAGAAAATGGCTGGATCAGTATTTCAAGTTGCAATTAAAAATCTCCATAAGCTAAAAATGAAACAGAAAAAAAAAAACTGAAGGTTTAAGCTCACACTAGAACTAAATAAGCATTTTGAAGTTGGAAAAACATTAAGTGATGAATATTACACTAGTATGCATCCATTTTTCCATCATTATTGTCAAAGTTTCAATTCACTTTTAACTTTTCATAGCCCGTAACAAAGAAATATAGGTTTATTTTCCTTTGTACCTGTAAATAGAGAAAAATACTTTCCCATATGGCTTAACAAAACAAGGGTATCTTCTTAGGGCCACAAAAGTGTCCCACAACATAATTAGAAGGAGCACAGGCTTAAAAATCTGTCCCCTCCCCCAGAAAAGTCCTTACCTGAAATCCAACGCAAGGAATAGAATTTCATCCTAAAAGTATTTTTTAAATAATCAGTTAGAGTGTAAGTTCTGCGACTGTCAGCTGCAGCATCATCTGTTGATTAAAGAAAAGAGCCAAATGTTCAGTAAGATGTAATAACCTAAGTTTGGGATAAAATAAACAAATGGATCACTGCAATACACACTGGTCGCAAACTATAGGAATTACACTCACAAAATGCAGAACACATTCTGAAGGATTTCAGGCTGGATGGATGGAGTGGAAATACACTTAATTGTTAGAGCACAAGTGAGTGGTGTGTCTCCCTGAGCTATATTAGTGCCCGCATTAGTGAACTTCCTCATGAAGGTCTAGATCCCCCAAATCCAAGGGAAATATGATGTGAGTCCATTTTCTAGTAGCCATATGCAAAGATTGGTAAGGTGAAAATAATTTTAGTAGCATATTTTATTTAGCCCAATATATTCAAAATATTATCATTTCAACATGGAATCAATATCTAAATTTTATTAATGAGCTCTTTCACATTCTTTGTTTTTATACTACTTCTTTGAAATCCAGTATGTCGTCTATGATAATGGCATGTCCTAATTTGACTAGACACACTCCTGGTCAGTAGCTATCGGTGGTCATGTAGTAGATGGCACAAGGCTAGGCTGTCTTTCTTAGAGGCCTGAAGGTGCCTTTCCACACTCTCTTGCTTTGCATGGACCTTTAAGACAGGGTGATCGTTTAATGCATTGATCTTTGTTTCTATGGTGACCTTTCCTTGCATTTGGGGGAGGTTTTCATGAAACCCTCCCATGGACTCTGTGACACCTCACTTCTCCTCCTAACCTCTGATCATTCATTTTCTATCTCTTTATTTTTCTCTATTGACCTCCAAGGCAGAAATGCCCTGATACTCAATCTTCAGCTTTTTGCTCTTGTCTCTCTTCATTTTTCCTCCTAGAGGACTCCAGAGAATGAGACTTCTTGGGCTTCAGGCATATTTTCCATTTAAATTCATGACAAAACCTATACTCATTACCTTAGCCTTTCACACCTCAAAATCACATTTCTAGTGCTGAGTTGGCCCTTCTTAGTTGACTTGCCCCATATTAACCCTACACTTCCCTTGTCTAAATTAATCGCCTTCCTTCCAAAATAATTTTCCCTAGGGAATTTGTGTGGTTTTAGATTCTGTTACCAGAAACCCATATTCAAAGTCTGAAAATCATTTCTGATGTCTCCCTCTCTTTTACTACCACCTGTATCTGGTTAACCCCGTTTGATTCTTCCTATGACATTGTTCTTCTGGGTATCTTGCCCTTAAGTCTTTTCCCAGTCCAATCCCTCTACTGTACAACCGCTGGAAAGATTTTTCCAAAATGCCACTTTCATCCCAGTGACCTTTTCCTCAAAAGCCTCCCCTGATTCACCATTGCCTACAGAAAGATTCCAACTCCTCAGCGCAGCACTCATGGTCTCCACAGTCTGGCATGAGACTGTCCAGGCTCATTTCCACTTACTTCACGTATGAACCCTCTAACCCACTCACACTGATTGCCTGCTGGACCCAGTAAGCCTTCTTTTTGGCTTTTCTGACTTTGCTCCTTGTCCTAAGCCTCTCCCCTGCAGCATCTCCAACCACTTCCGGGGCTGTCACAGTCCTCTACCTGACAGCTCCCTCCTCTCTCATCAAGACTTCAGTGCTGCCTCCTCTGACTTTTGCCCCCAGACTACTCATTTGGTTTTTCTAATTAATAACTTCTGGTGATAACTATTTTTCCATGCCTACCACTGTGGTGGACTGAGCTAGGCTATCTATTCATTGAAGAAAGTGTCTTGGGTTGGTTGGTTGTTTCTTTTTCATCAACTTAGTACCTAGCACAGTTCTATGCCATAGTAGGTACACACAGCTTTTGTTGATGACATGGGATATCATTCTCCAAGGCTGATGAGGCCAGCGTGATTCCCCAGTCACAGAACCCCCACTGATGACAAGCAGCCTAAAGAGTTTTTCCATATACTATATTCCTTCCACATACTTGCAAACATACGCTCATAAAAGCAGGCACCATCGTAAGTTTTCAAGAACTGTTCTTACTCTTTCGGGGATTGAAAAATCAATAGCAGCTTCTCTTGTTAATTTTTTACGGTCTGTAGAAAGGTAATTCTCTCACAGGAAATGCTCTTTCAGGAGATGTTCTCAAGATTTTATTTCTTTGGATCTTATCTGATAACATAGCCATGGTTCTGCCTGTAAAACTTTCAGCTTCAGTAGATAAATTGTTACACTTTATTAATTTATTGATTTTGTTTAAGCCTAGTTTGCTAAATAAGCTGAAGATGAAAAAAAAAAAACACCCTTTTTTTTTCTTTTCCATTCAGGCCTGCATTTCACCCCAGAAAATTAAAAAGATATTTCTATTTGTTAGCAGAGATAGAGCAAATGGGTAAAATCAGCCCCTGAACTTGCCAACTGTCAAGCAAGAAGTAAAGCCCTGGGCTACAGAAAATATTTGAAACTCTACATATCTGTAGATTTATTCACTAAATACCCTTAGTTGTTCATATTCATCTAATTGTTCTTTGATGCACTGAACAGCGATAAAGTAAGTACTATTTGAAAAATACTGTTGCAGATATATATATATATATATATATATATATATATATATATCCTGTTATCAAGAGCTATTAGTCTAAAATGGACACAAAAGACATTCCAAAATTAGTACAACTCAAGATATAAATGGTTATAGACATTCACAATCCTGTATCACCTGCTGATATCGATGTCTGGATAGACCTATTGATATTGAACAATTTACACATACACACGCAAACACACTTCATTACAATGACCTAAATGTTTGTGTCCTCCAAAATTCATATGTTGAAATCCTAACCCACAATGTGATGGTATTAGGAGATGGGGCTTTTGGGAGGTGATTAGGTCATGGAGGTAGAGCACTCATAAATGAAATTATTACCCTTATGAATTAGTGCCCAGAAGGATCTCTTGTCCTTTCCATGCGAGGACACAGGAAACTGGCCCTCACTAGATGCCAGACACATAATCTGCCAGTGACTGAGACTTCCCAGACTCCAAAACTGTGAGATAAAAACACTTGTTGTTTAAGCCACACAGTCTATGGTGTTTTTTTTTAATGCAGCATTGCCTGAACAACCTAAAACATGTATCTCTAATAAAACAGACATATCAACTTAGAACATCTCCCACTGCCTCTTGATTTTGTAAGGAGAGAATTAACCGAGTACTTACAACAGAAAACGCACATTGTTATTTCCTTTAAACGCTATCTCATGTAAGGGTATTCACCCTGGCTTTTTAGGATAACACACTTAAACCTGGACTATTAAAATCATTGAGGCAAAATTCCCTGTGACATCACCTGCTGCCCTTGGCGCCAACCTTCACATTCATGACGCATGATTCACTGAGCACTTAATCTCTCCCCTGTCTCAGACAAGGCTGAGCTCATTCTCTCCTCAGACCATAGTGTTCATAGACCCATCAAGTCTACCATATTTGGGCTCCTACCATGTTTGCTTGGGCCCACGATAATTTTATTCCATCCGTTGCTGTCCCAGATATCAACACTGATGTTATTACACTCCTGCTATGACCTAGGACATCTGTGAAGACCCCGGGGTGCCTCTGGTTTGTGTCAGGCTCACTCACCCACTCAACGATGACCCCAAGAGCTCCTTTCCACATCCTGGCTACCCGGTCCCAGAACAACGCTGCTGAATTGGAGCAAACCAAGCAACAAATGTTCCTTGTTTTTTGCCTTGCCATTTGATAAGCAGTGCACATTGGAAGATACGTTTGAAACATCTAGATAAGCGAGTTCTGTAAAACGTTGAGTGCCAAGTCCAGGTTTTGACCTTTAGCAAGTTCCTAGTTTGTTGCCAAGTTACAACCTATTCTGTCAAACGCTTACAGGACATGCTCATGTTTCTTTCCCCTTGTCTCCTTGCTCACTGACAGGGCACTGCTGTGGCAACAGATGAAGGTCTTTGGCTGCTCGTGTGGTTTTCCTGGTGGGCCTGGGACATGTCGTTCATTTGACTTATCGGTTCAAAGCATTGTGCTCGCCAAGTAAAGCAGTTAATCATATGTTACCCATCAGCTTTTATAGAAACTCTTAGATTCCTGTCTTCTTGAATTTCAAAATCAAAAAAGAAAAAAAAAATGTTAACAACTTTAGATTTTACTTTTCTGGTGAGAACAGCTATTGGGCTAGACCATCTGAAAATGTCATTTTTTCAGTTAAAAATGGTAGAATAGCAGTATTTAAAATGTTTCAACCTAATAATAGATTCTTATTGAAGTGTATGGTATCTCAATGCCTTCTTGTTGTAGGATCAAAATCATTTCTGAATAAAAGTATTTCCAAAATAGTAAGATCCAATTAAGGACGTAGTGTAGTTCCATGGAATCATCTTGCCTTGACCACTTGTTACCTTATGATTGCAGAATATTTTGACTATTTTGTATACATTAATAATAAACTTTTTTTAGATTTTATTTATTTATTTGAGAGAGAGAGAGTGAGAGAGAGAATGAGAGATGAGAAGGTCAGAGGAGAAGCAGACTCCCCATAGAGCTGGGAGCCCGGTGCGGGACTCCATCCCGGGACTCCGGGATCATGACCCGAGCCAAAGGCAGTCTCTTAACCAACTGAGCTGCCCAGGCTGCCCAATGATACACTTTTTTGTCTGTGTTGGGCTGGGATATGTAATATTTCTACTTCACAAAAATAAATTGTTTTGGTAAATAAGTAGCTAATGAAATGCCATTAAAAAGAAATGTGCTCTTTACGGCTCATAAACTTATTAAGTTGTTAAACACAGGAAAAAGATATCTGGTTATAGAGTTCTTGGATTCCATATGGTGATCAGTTAACATTTTGTATTGATGCTAAAGAAATGAAATGCGTGTCGCTTCAGAATTTGCCACAGCAAAATAGCAGCCTTGACATGGGGACAGAAGAAGCAAAATCAAGAAGGCAGAAGAAATTGACTGGAAGACACTGCATACCCTGTATCACCCAGTAGCATATGTGGGCAGGCTACCACCC